TACCACGCCCAATTCGCTGGGCGTGCGAGTGCCAACGCGCAAGGGCTCGAAGCGCATTCAATTGCGTGGCATTTTCGTTGGCTCGAAGGTTGTGCGCGGCCCGGACTGGGAGTGGAACGATCAGGACGGCGGCGAGGGCAAGACAGGGCGGGTTATGGAAATCCGTGGCTGGGACAACGAATCGTGTCGCAGTGTGGCCAACGTCTCGTGGGTAACGGGCTCAACGAACGTCTATCGTCTGGGGCACAAGGGCAACGTCGACCTCAAGTACATATCGGCAACGGGCGGCGGCCACTACTACAAGGATCATATGCCAGTGCTGGGCCAGCCGGAGGAGCAGCAGCCGGTGGCGCCGATGGTGAAGCCAAGCTTCTCTGTGGGCGATCGCGTCAAGGTTTGCCTCGAGGTGGATGCCCTCATGAAGCTGCAGCAGGGCCATGGCGGTTGGAATCCACGCATGGTCGAGCATCTGGCCAAGCTGGGCACAGTCCATCGGATCACGGATAAAGGAGATATACGGTAGGGAGCATAAGCTCAGATCATTTCAGAGAATTCTTCTAATTGTTTTTTCCCCTCTGGCCTGGCAGGGTGCAATATGAAAACTGTCCCAATCGCTGGACCTTTCATCCCGCCGCACTCGTCAAAGTTGTCTCCTTTCGTGTGGGCGATCTGGTGACCATCATTAACGATGCCAACAAGGTCCAACAGCTGCAGAAGGGTCACGGCGAATGGATTGATATTATGCGATATGTAAGAGGCAGCCAGCAGATCGCCGCCGATGCCATAGATTTCTAATGGGAATTTTATTCCGTTTGCAGGCCCTGGGTAAAATCTGCAAAGTGGTTAAAGTCTACTCGGATGGGGATCTGCGCATTCAGCAGCTGGACGATGGCTTCGAGTGGACCCTCAATCCCAAATGTGTCAAACTGGAGCGTTCGCCGTTGGCCACGGCTGCGGAACGCTCCAACAGCATGATGGATCTGAGCCATAGGCGTGCCGATCATGTAATGACACCCCTCTCCGGCCTCTCGGGCAGCTCTGTGGCCGATAAATTGGTGCGGGAGGCGGCACAGGGGCATCTGGAGTTTGTGCGCCAATATCTGGACATGAATCCCGCCCAGGTGGATGTCATGAGTGGCGGCAAGGCGTGCATACAGGTGGCCTCGCATCAGGGCTACGTCGAGCTGGTCAGCTACCTCATCTCCAAGGGCGCCAATGTGAATGCAGTGGACAAGGAGGGCGATTCGGCGCTCCATTACGCAGCCTTTGGCAACCAGCCGGCCACAATGCGTGTCCTTCTGCAGCATGGGGCAGAAGTGAATTTCCTCAACTCGAGCCACTGCTCGGCCCTGCACATTTGTGCGCACAAGAAGACGCCGCACTGTGTGCGCGAGCTGCTGCAGCACCAGGCCAATGTGAACATTCAGGACTCCTACGGCGACACGGCACTGCACGATGCCATTGGCAAGGAGAACACCGAGGTGGTGGAGCTGCTGTGCAATGCCCCGAATCTGGATTTCACGGTGAAGAACAATCGCGGCTTCAATGTGCTGCACCATGCGGCGCTCAAGGGCAATGTGGTGGCCGCCCGTCGCATCCTGCAGCTCTCCCGTCAGTTGGTGAATGTGCGCAAGGATGATGGTTTCGCGGCGCTGCATCTGGCCGCCCTCAACGGGCATGCCCAGGTGGTGGAGACTCTTGTGACCGAGGGACAGGCCGAGCTGGACATCCGCAACAATCGACGTCAGACGCCGTTCTTGCTGGCCGTCTCGCAGGGCCATGCTGGGGTGATCGAGCGCCTCGTGCGGCTGTCGTGCGATGTGAATGCCAAGGACGAGGACGGGGACAACGCCATGCATTTGTGCGTGATCAAGAAGTCCAATCTGCAGTCGGCGGCGGAACCGAATCCCGAGGAGGCGCCCGAGATCCACAAATTCTACATGAGTCTCGTGCAGACGAGTGTGCGGGCCGAGGATCGCCTGATGTACAGCATACTCATCTATCTGTCGCGTGCCGGCTGCCGCGTGGAGCTGAACAATGCCAATGCCAGCATATTCGAGTGGATCACCGACCGCAACATCAGGCAGATGATCTTTGGCCAGCAGCAGCCACCGGAGGCAGAATCGTCGAGTGCCGCAGCCCTGCTACGCTTGCAGGCGCTCGATATGTCTGAAGACGAAATGCCAACGGCAGGCGAAACTGGGGGCGCGGAAACAAATGGAGCTGCGCCCGTTCCGCCGCCACCATTGCGTCAGCATCTCGATGTAATGCCAAAGCCCAACGATATGGCTGGAGCTCAGCCCTCGCCATCAGTAGCCGCAGCACCAGCCACACCATCAGCATCGCCGGGAGTCAAGAAACTCAATTCGGATGCCCCACCATTGACGGCACCACCGAATGTTTCGCCACAAGTTGCGCCGCGCAAGAAGGCCCCCAAGCCGCCAGCTACCTCAAGCAGCAGCAGCAGCACAGTCACAGCCATCGCCGCAGGAGAGCAGCCATGTGGTGCGGCTGCGGCTGCGGCAACAGCCCTGACGTGTCCAGGTCCGGGTCCTAGTCCCGCGGCCATGATAGCAGGTCCACTGGAGTGCATCGTGTGCAACGAGATCCTGCCCCTGGTGCGCTTCGAGCCGTGTCAGCATCAAATCGCCTGCGAGGAGTGCGGCATACGCATGAAGAAATGCCTGCGATGCGGTGTGCTCATCGAACGGCGTGTGACCTCCAGCGGGCGGGTAGTCTCCCTGCAAACGTCAACAGCATCGCCCAGCGATCCGGCGCGTCTGCCCTCGGGTGATCTGCTGCGGTACTTGGAGAACAAAGTGCAAGAGTTCGAGGAGTCGCACTTCTGTGGCATTTGCATGGAGCGCAAACGGGATGTGGCATTCCTATGCGGCCATGGGGCTTGCTCCCACTGTGCCGAGACGCTGCGCACGTGTCACATGTGCCGCAAAACGATACTCAAGAAGATCAACCTGTACTGAAGCAGCAGCATTGAGCAATTCGCAACCAAAGTGGCTTGTAAATACATACACATACACATACATAGAGAGCATTTAAAATTATACTTAGTGTACGGCCCCCAATTGAATGCAGTACATGGGCAGGCGAGACATTGGCATTGGTGTAGGCCTTTATTTGCAGTAATGTTATGTGAGTAACTCGAAGTTATTATTTATTGAACCCCCCGACCGAATTTTACTCGTTCTTATTTTGTAACGGATTATCTAATGGCATCGTATACATAAAATATTATGCACCCTTCACGTGTCTAGTTATTAGCATCGTTTAACTATGTCTGGCAACGAAAAAAAACAAAACCAACTAAAAGCGAAAGATATTTAATAGTCATTAAAAATTGCGAAATATACAAATTAAAAACAGTTGAAATGCAGTCTTGTCGCGCTTTATTTGCCTATCGATAGTAGAAACCATATATCGAGTGTGTTGTGACTGACCAGCATCGATAGCCGGTAATCGATAGTGCTTGGAAAGCTGGTTGGAAAAAAAAGTTACACACGTCACAACAAAAAAAGAGTCGAGTCCCACGCGTATACTTATAATGGCCAAACAAATGGCCGATTTCCAGAGCAGCAAGCTTCAATTCTACCAGAAGCTCGCACTGGTCGTTATCCTTGGTGGCATCCTGCTCTCCCTGCCATCATTATGCGGTGGCCAAGGCAATCCCAGCTTTAAATACTCGCGCGAAGCGAATGAAAATTTTGATGCCAAGAATGCTCCGCCGGCAGTGCACCATCACGATGAAGATGATCATGATCATCACCATCATCATCACGATCACGATGAGCACGACCATCATCATCATGGGCATGAAGAGGTCCACGTCCACCACAGCAAAACGAAGCCGGCACTTGGTAAGCAAGTCTGTCAGTGGTGTTGTATCTCAGTATTGACATAGGTGACTTCATCTTGCTCTCTATAGATATGAGCACCATATGGTTGCATTCAATTGGCTCCACGCTGCTTATCAGCGCCGCGCCTTTTGTGTTGCTCTACATCATACCCCTTGATAACAGCGATGCCATGAAACCCCGTTTGAAGGTTCTGCTGGCCTTTGCATCCGGCGGACTGCTGGGCGATGCATTCCTGCACTTGATACCGCATGCAACGCATCCGCATAGTCACGGAGAGCACGACCACGAGCATGGTCACGGCCACGCACGGACACGAGCATCATCATGAAGGCGAGGGCGAGGCACATGGACACAGCCATGACATGAGCGTTGGTCTGTGGGTTCTGGGCGGAATTATTGCCTTCCTGTCGGTGGAGAAACTTGTGCGCATACTGAAGGGTGGCGGCGGTGGCCACGGGCACAGCCACGGTGCACCCAAGCCCAAACCTGTTGCTGAGAAGAAAAAGCCAGCAAAAGAAGGCAACGGAGATGGCGACAAACAAGGTAAATCCAGCAAAGCCAAGGCAAAGAAATCGGAACCCGAGCCAGAGCCCGAGGGAGAAGTGGAGATCTCAGGGTACTTGAATTTAGCGGCTGATTTTGCCCACAACTTCACCGATGGACTGGCAATTGGTGCTTCCTATTTGGCTGGCAACAGCATCGGCATAGTCACAACCATCACCATTCTGCTGCACGAGGTGCCGCACGAGATTGGTGACTTTGCCATACTCATCAAGTCGGGCTGCTCCCGCAGAAAGGCGATGATGCTGCAGCTGGTAACGGCGCTGGGCGCCGTGGCAGGCACAGCACTGGCCCTGGTTGGTGCCGCCAGCGGTGAGGACAACTCGGCCCCCTGGGTGTTGCCGTTCACAGCCGGCGGATTCATTTACATTGCCACAGTGAGCGTGCTGCCAGAGCTGCTGGAGGAGTCGACCAAGCTGAAGCAATCCCTGAAGGAGATACTGGCCCTGCTTACCGGCGTGGCGCTGATGATTGTTATAGCCAACTTTGAATAGTGTCTTGGAGCGTTACTTAAACATCTACATCATTTCAGAGAGACAGTGAGAGAGAGAGGAAGAGAGTAAGGGAGTTTTTATATGCATTCAAAATTATGCTTTACTATACGAACGGTTTGAATTAGTCAAAAAATACACTTTACAAGGAAAACATTAACTTCATTCGCCCTTCGCCCCATTTATGGTGGCCTTGATCTCGTTGAGGCAATACTCGGCCTGCTCGATGGCATCGGGATTCTTGTGCTGTTGCCCCATTTTCCAAGCCAGCTTGCAGGACTTTTCCGCCTGCTGCATCAGACCCTCACGCAGGTAAACCAGACCCAGATTTGCCAGCAGCACTCCCTCTTGGCTGACGTCATTCAGCTCTTTGGCCAGGGCCATGGCTTGCATCAGAGTTTCCTTGGCTTCTGCGTAATTTTCAAGCTAGAGGAATTAAGCTTATGGTTATTAAAGTACAATTATATGCTGTATGGAGGGAGAACTTACGTTCACATACGCCACACTTATGTTGTTCAAAATGGTCACCGAAGCCTCGTTGACGGCGCCATACACATCGCAGAGGGCGTCGAAGGCTTCTTTAAAAAGGTTCTTGGCCTCTGTGTATTTTCCCTGCTTCATCAGCAGCTGGCCAAACCTGCAAATGAAGCACACATACAAGTCGTTATGGATACGGTTGGGTTGGAAAGAGTGTGTGGGAGTTAAGAGTGCTTGGAAATCAATATGGAAACACCTTCAATACCAATTCTTTGTCAGGCCGTACAGCTCTTGGACGTCTTTGTCTTCGGGCATCTTCTCAATTAACTTGGCCAGCTGCTGCAGCGTCCAGCTGAAGCCTTGGTAACTCTTCTCCAGGTCCCCTTGCAGCTGTGACATATGCGCTATCTTGGAGCTAATGTGCAGGATCTGGAAACATGGCACCATGGGTGGGGCTTAATGGGATTGGACCTCAATATATACAAGTGACGGGACAAACCTTTGGGCTCTCCTCCGTGTGGCCATCGGCAAAGAGACGCTTCATCACATCCGTGAATATCTTCTCTGCCTTTTTGAACTGCTCTCGTTCCATGGCCAGATTAGCCATCACATCGTACACATACGTGATGCCATCTTTGCTCTGCAAGTCTTGAGCCATCCGCAGTGCCAGGTGGAGCATTTGCTCCGCCTTGTCGTACTGTTCCCGCTGTACACATAGAATGGAGCGCTTGATCTGGTTGATCAGTTTCTCTTCGGGCGTCTCCTCCTTATCATTATCACTGTGTCCAAACAGGTTGAAAGTGAAGGCCGCTGTAAATGCCAAAGCCGTGCCCCCCGAGGCTGAGCCCGTACCATGGTGGTGATGGCGATCCATATTGGGGAAGAGCGACGATGATCCCGCTTCCAACCGTTGCTGGTAGTTGGTTCTTCGAAATTTAGCCAACTGGCAATATTCCCTTGGACTTGGGCCGACCCGAAGCCTGGCCATGACTTGGCTTAGCTTAGAAATATTCGTAACCATCATTTTAACAGTAAGTTAACGCATTTTATGCCTAAAATCAAAATTGGAAATTTTGGTTGTTCTGCCGACTTATGAAATGCGGCCTAGTGTTGCACAGTGTGGCAAAATGCACCACACGTAAATGTTTTAATCAAAAATTGAGAAAGTTGTCATTTATTATTCAAAGTTATTTGTGCGCAGCGCAATTTAAACAAAAACTAAAGTAATTGTGCCGCGGTAAGAGTTTTATTTTGCATTTTATAAAACAATAAATATCTATCGATAGTCACACCATCAATGCAACTCTGCATATTGATGGCGGATTTGACGCTCTTCGTTTGCTGACAAAATAATTTTCTCGAAGAAGAAAAGGTGCATATCGCTAAAGTTAGGAGTTAAACGTTTCATCAGTGCATTAAATAACTCACGTGCCGACATATAGAAGTTCACGCGCATTTTATTTCAGATTTTTTACAGTGCTGTGTGCCGTGGGCGCTTTTTTTTACAGCTATGAGACGGCGTAGCGAGCGAAAAAAATCTACATCGCCCGCACCGTTGCCGGCACGACGTAGTCGACGCTCCCGCAAAGTGTCCGACAATGAAAGAACCGAGGAGGAGAACAGCGTAGTGCACAAAGATGCTGAAAATCAGGAATTGCCACAGGCCGCCGCATCGCGCGAAGAAATCAATGATGCTCAAGATCGCGAGCGCGCCTCCAGCGAGGAGCGTGCGGCATCGCCATCACCAGTGCGCAAGAGTCGCAGCAGCCGCACTACGCCTAAAAAGCGCGTGGAAAGCAAAAGCAGCGATAAGAAGGTGGAAACCATACCGGAGGAGGGAGAAAACGGCGCCGATTCAGACAAATGGCAGTCGAGCAGAAACAACGCGGATGTCGTGAAGCCCGAGAAGAGCGAGAAGAGGACTCCGCCGGCTCCAGACAGCGTAGATGAGCCCAAAAGTGATGCTGAACCTGTAGCGGACCCGCAGCCCAAGCCGGAGCCAGACGCTGAGGTCGAGAAGCCGCAACCAGAGCCAGGTAATGCCAAGAAGGACGTTGACAAATCGGATGATGAAAAGCCGACCGCAGACGATGACGCTGATGACGATGGCAGGCAGAGCATTCACATTCAAGAGGTAAAAGTTCCTTCTCCTTCGATTAGCCTAACAGCAAGTAAGGAGGAGGAACATCTAAAAACATCCAGTGATGTATTAGACATTCAAACAGAGGACGTTGAAGAAAGGGATGATGAGGCTGCTGCCGCCACCACCGAGGACACTCCTAAATCGGAGCGCAGGGAGGAGAGGAAGAGGAAGCATAAGGAACAGCTACCGGAGAGGATGCCCATCAAGGCGAAGGACGAGCAAAAGGAGAATCGCAAACAGTCCGTAGAACAGCCAGCCCCAGCTCAGGACGAGGAGGCCATTGATCTTCCAAATAACAAAAAGCACGAGACCACCTCAGTGACAGCGACACCACCCACTGCGCCAGCAGGAGCAACCGCAACTGTGCTGCAGAGTCAGCGGTCCGTGCGCAAGCGCAAGTGGTTGACAAATAAAAAGTCATCAGATCGCGCACCGCCAGTGCTGGCCATTTCGACGGACTCGCTGAAGAACATAATTTCCGATGTGGTGCCAGTGCCACTCAGCGATGTCCAGCTGGACTCTTCCTCGGAGGAGGAGGGCCTTGTCACCAGCGACCACGAATCGGATCGGTCCGTGACACCAGTAGGGCGCAAGGAGCGTGAGCGTGAATGTGACGAGAGTGGCACGGTCACGGTCGTCACTGCCACTGAGAACAGTGTCGCCGAGTCGAATGCCGCAAAGGAAGCCACCGCCGGCACAGGCCGCACCACACCGGCGCTCTCCACAGACATTGTGCAGGTGCATGTGGGCGGGGGGTTGAGTAAATCAACAGTTCCATCTGCGAAACCCAATATAGTCCGCTCACCGAGTCCAGCCCGCAATCGTTCCAGTCATGTGCTCTACATAACCAATTTGGTGCGTCCCTTCACTGTGCTCCAGCTGAAGGGGCTGCTGGCACGAACGGGCAAGATAGTCGAAGATGGTTTCTGGATAGATCGCATCAAGTCTAAGTGCTTTGTTGCCTATTCCAATGAAGAGTAAGTATACCATTACTAAATGAACTTGTATCTCCTTGGTATTTATTTGGTTTCTGCTTTACAGCGAGGCTATTGAAACACGCCATGCCCTGCACGGCGTGCGCTGGCCAGTCTCGAATCCAAAATGCTTGAATGTGGATTTCGGCAGTCGCACAGACATGGATCGTGCGATACAATTGACAAAGGACGAGCCGCCACGCTATGGCCAGGAAAATACCAGAGATAATCAGCAATCAGGCAATGCTTGGTCTCGATTGGACGCGACTGATAAAAAGGTACAAAGGGAATCTAATCTGTTTTCTTTCGTTACTATAATCTAACACAATCTTTATGCTTTGAGCAGCCTGCCCGCCCGGTACGGGAATGGGATGTGGGCAAAAAGGAGCCCAATGATCGCGAAAAAATCCCCAACGACAGACGTCGTGGGAGCAAGGAGCGTGTGGTGGATTCCCGAACACGAGATGTGGAGCGACCGGGTCAGGATCGCAAGCGCTCCAGGGAAGGAGAGGGTGTGCGGGGACGCGAACGTGAGCGCAATGAACGTAATAACGATCGCAATACACACGGACGTAGCCGCTCTGGATCACCAAGTAAGGCGTTAATCATCTGCTCCTTTTGTAAGACTTTGTGATGATAACCCCATCTATTTTGAAACAGTGCCCAAGACAAAAAGAAAGGAGAACGAGCCGCCGATTAGGCTGTTGGATGATCTGTTTCGCAAAACTAAGGGCACACCCTGCATCTACTGGCTGCCACTTACGCCGGAAGCGGTAAGCTTTTAATTTATAGTCGTGTGGGAGGGGCGTGTAATATGAATGGCATCTTTCCGGCATCAACAGATTGCAGAGAAGGAGGCATTCCGCCAGAAACGCATCGAGGAGCATAAGCTACGCATTAAGGAACGGGAGGAGCGCCAGAAGGAGCGTGAAAAGGATCGTGACCGTCAGCGCGATACGCGTCGCAATCGTTCGAACGAGCGGCGTCATTCGCGGAGTCGCGAGAGGGAACGACGACGTTACTAGGCCCGCAACAGGAGGCGGAGGCGGCGTCTTGAGATTGAACAAATAAACAATGAATTATATCTCAATAATTAGCATCAACCAACCAACCATCATCCACAACAACAAAAGTGAAGAAGAGCAACTAAAGCTAAACAAAAGAAAAAAAACTTCAATGTGGTCTCACATTACCCGCAAAATGTTCAATTTCTTCGAACGTTATCGCGCGTTCCATTAAATATATTTTTACGTTCTTATTAAATATTCAACTTGAAGTCAAATCGACTTCAAATTGAATATTTTTGCCAACGTTTCCATAAAACTTAACTTTTTGAGATTTTCCACTTCTCTTCCACTCTTTTTTCCACTTTCACCCTCCATTCTATTTCTCTTTGTTGTTGTTCTATATGCCCACATATATATTTTGACATATATATACCACATATATAACCTGATATGATTTCTTTCCTCAAATGTAGCAATTTTTACAGCGCCTAACGTCATCATCTCACCTCCAACAAAAATAAAAAAAAACTACACAGCCCTCAACATGCAAAGCGACTGCGGCAGCGGCATCAACGCAAGGATATTCGTCTGTATCGGCGGAATAAAAAAATAAAAACAAAAAACCTATATACTAAATGAGCAAAAAATAATTAATAATTATTAAACAAATGTAAAATTAATATTTCTTGAAATTTTAATGAACTTAGAAATACAATTCAATAACAGACGGCAAGCTTGTGACCATGCCAATAAAATAATGTGTTTTTAAATCTTAGAACTAGTAAAAGGACCTGCTAGTTCAATAATAATTTATTTTTAAAAATATAAAAGAATGCAATAAAAGTATTCATAACAGCGATGGTAAAAACGTCAACGATAGTGTCACGTCAACAATCGATAGTAAATGTGCCAGCTGTCTGTTGTAATCGATACCCCTATTATAGTTCAATTAACATTAAAAAAATAGTGAAAAATGTGGTCCGACACCATATTAATAGTTTTTATATCAGTTTGCACCGCCTTTTTGGGCGAAGGTGAGTTAAACATCACACAGCTGTTAAATTTTTAACATATTCATTCATTTAAAGGGCTCACCTGGGTCTTGGTGTACCGTACGGATAAATATCAAAAGCTGAAAACCGAGGTGGAGAAGCAGAGCAAGAAGTGTAAGTGCTAGAAACTGGGTTATCATTATCATAATTTAACGTGTGAATTACTTCAAGTGGAGCGCCGCAAGGAAATACATGGCGATTCTCTGGACAAGGCGGTGAAAAAGAAAATCGAGCGCGATGAGGAGAAGCTGAAGAACAACAACCGTGACTTGTCGCTGGTGAAGATGAAGTCTATGTTTGCAACCGGCTTTGCTTTCACCGCACTGCTGAGCATGTTCAATAGCATATTCGATGGACGCGTTGTTGCCCAATTGCCCTTTACCCCCATCTCCTGGATTCAGGGCCTGAGCCATCGCAATCTGGCCGGCGAAGACTACACCGACTGCTCGTTCATCTTCCTCTACATTTTGTGCACCATGTCCATTCGTCAGAACATTCAGAAAATGTTGGGCTTTGCACCCTCACGTGCCGCCAGCAAACAGGGCGGTGGTCTCTTTGGTGCGCCGCCAGGACAATTCAAATAGTAAAATGAAACTTTAATCATGTACAATACATTGTACTTTCAACAGACACTAACTTAGAACATTATTCAACTCGTACATGGGCCTGTCGACTATTAATCTATCGAAGCTCAGTCGCGACAGGTCGATGGTGCGAAACTGGCCATCCATAATCAGCTCGGATATGGCTCGACCCACAGCCACCGACTGCTGGATGCCGTGTCCACTGAACCCTGTGGCAATGTACAAATTGTGATAGTACGGATGTGGTCCCATAATGCCGTTCTCATCGTAGACATTGTGCTCGTACAGACCCGCCCAGCTGTCTACAACTGTGGCCGCCTCAAAGGCGGGCACTCGCTCCACGAGTGCGGGCTTAATATGCTCTTCAAAGTACTGCGGATCAACGACGAAATTATTACTGTTTGGATCGACTTGCGGATCGGAATTATGGCCGCAGATGTAGTTGCCGCCCAAGCCGTCTCTCCGAATGAATGTCCCGTTCGAATCGATGGTTATGGGCATGGCCATGCCGGGTGCATTCTGTGTCTGAGTGGTGATTGCATACATGTACCGCTTCCGTGCATCTATGGGCAAGGGAACCCGCAGCATTCCCCGCCCGGTGCCAATGCGTGCCAGTCGTCCTACATTCCCGGAATTAGCTCCGGCTGCTATCACGCAGAGAGCAAACTTGCATGTGCGTCGTGTGCCATCCGGCAGTTGGATAACAACCTTGTCCAGACCATCGTAGCTGGCTTCGCTGGAGCTGTTGTCACCCGAGACGGATATATCCGGCTGTTCTTGGAAAGCAAAGTCCACCACCTCTCCATTGACGAAATGCGCGCCATGTCCGCCAGCAGAGCGACGAAAGTTTGTGAGTAGCGCCCACGAATTGAACCAGCCCTCCTTCTCGAGGCCATGGCAGCCCAGAGCAATACCCTTGGTATTCAGCCAGGGGAAACGTGCCGCCAGTCGATCGGGTGTGAGAAGCTCATTCCGGGCACCCAGCTCGTTTTGCAGCTGCGAACCATACTTCAGGCTCTCGGCGTCCTCCTCCCCAGCGAGCATCAGATGGCCCTGGGGCGTAAAGTTGAGCGGTACCTCCGAGCCAAAGTGCTCCTTGGCGTTGCGCAAAAAGTCGGCGGCAAATAGAGACATTTGTATGTTCTCCGGCAGGGAGAACTGCTGACACAGGCCGCCAAAAGAGACGCGGGTCGCAGACTGGGCGTACTATAAAGAGACGAGATAGATAACTCTGTGGGCACTTGACCACGATTGTCACGCATACCGTATCATCCTTTTCGACAACCACAACGTTCAGGCCATCGCGCGCCTTCTCCTTTAGCCAATATGCAATGGAACTGCCCACGCCGCCACCGCCGATGATCAGCACATCGCAGTGCGTCTGGAATTCATCCGGCTGACTGGGATTCCGTCCTTTGTCGCCCTCAAAGTTGAATTTACTTTGGGTCAGAGCCCGCTCCGAGGTGTCTTCTGGAATGGGGTCCTTGGGCACAAAGAATTCTTTGACTTTGCGCATATCATTGCCAAGCAACCGAAACGTCCGCCTAATTGGATGCTTGTCGTCGTCGGGATTGGAATTCCCATCATTGCCAGCGGCACTAGCCGAGTAGGACCGGTGAGCCAGAATGCGCACAGCGTGTCTGTATCGTAACATTTTTAAACTTGTCAATTTTTATATATTTTCATTCACATTCCGTCTGTGGATTTTATAACAGCGATAACTATGTTTTACATGGTAACTACACGCTAACTACACATTTTCAACATATTAACTACATATTTATGTAGAGATGTCCAACTCAGAAATATACCTCATGTATTTCGGAATTTGAATTTGGTATTGAAGGTATATTTCTGAGGGTCACACTGCATTACTAGGCATTTTTGATATCGTTTGGAAAAAAAATACGAAAAGTCGTCAATTTAATTGAATAAATTGCAAATTAAACGTGCTAAAACATGACTAACGCTGCAGATATTGGCACTCAGGATGTTGAGATGGAGGTTGATCCTCCAACGACCGAAGTATCACTGGCGGACGAAAAGAAAAACCAAGATGTGGCCGCTGTCCAAGAAATACGCGAGCAAATACGCCAAATCGAAAAGAGTGTCGCTTCGAAGGAGTCGCGGTAAGTTTTCGCACCCATATACCATAGTTTCAATGATATTTATGTATGCTTTTGCCACAGATTCATCTTGCGCGTACTGAGAAATTTGCCCAACACCCGACGCAAGCTGAACGGCGTTGTGTTCCGCAATCTGTCGCAGAGCATCTACCCAGCTGGCGCGGATCGCGAAGCTGCACTGGCTCTGATGCCCGCTGTCGAGAAGGACGCCACCGAGCTGCCTGATGTGGGTAAAAAACTGGTGGCTACCAAGGCACCGATAGCCGAGGTGGATGCCTACTTCTATCTGCTGCTGCTGGTCAAATTGATTGACGCCAACGATTTGAAACGCGCCGGTACGTGTGCCGATGCCTTGATGGCCAAAATATCCATCCAGAACCGTCGCACCCTGGACCTGATCGGGGCCAAGTCCTATTTCTACTTTTCGCGAGTTGCTGAGCTCAACAACGCCTTGGAGGGCATTCGCGCCTTCCTGCACGCCCGCCTGCGTACCGCCACACTGCGCAACGACTTCGAGGGTCAGGCAGTGCTAATTAATTGCCTGCTCAGAAACTATCTGCACTATGCCCTGTACGACCAGGCTGACAAGTTGGTGAAGAAGTCCGTCTACCCCGAGTCGGCCAGCAACAATGAATGGGCCCGTTTCCTCTACTATCTGGGTCGCATCAAGGCCGCTAAGTTGGAGTACAGTGACGCACACAAGCATCTGGTCCAGGCCCTGCGCAAATCGCCCCAGCATGCGGCCATCGGATTCCGCCAGACCGTGCAGAAGCTGATTATTGTGGTGGAACTGTTGCTGGGCAACATTCCCGAGCGCGTTGTGTTCCGCCAGGCGGGACTACGACAGTCGCTTGGTGCATACTTCCAGCTCACTCAGGCTGTGCGTTTGGGCAACCTGAAACGCTTCGGTGACGTCGTGTCGCAGTACGGACCCAAGTTCCAGCTGGATCACACATTCACACTGATCATCCGCTTGCGTCATAATGTGATCAAGACTGCCATCCGTTCGATTGGTCTCTCGTACTCGCGAATCTCGCCCCAGGATATCGCCAGGCGCTTGATGCTGGACTCGTCCGAGGATGCCGAGTTTATTGTGTCCAAGGCCATACGCGACGGTGTAATTGAGGCCACCCTGGATCCCGCACAGAACTACATGCGCAGCAAGGAGAGCACCGACATTTACAGCACACGCGAGCCCCAGTTGGCCTTCCACGAGCGCATCTCGTTTTGCCTGAATCTACACAATCAGAGCGTCAAGGCTATGCGCTATCCGCCCAAGTCGTACGGCAAGGATCTGGAGAGTGCAGAGGAGAGACGCGAGCGTGAGCAGCAGGACCTGGAATTGGCCAAGGAGATGGCTGAAGATGATGAGGATGGTTTCTAAGCTTCTGCAGTTTCTTTGTACTTGTATTCATTTTTCATAGAAATATAACCAGCAATTAAATAAGAGTAAAAACACAACGCTCAGAATCCACTCGCAGAGTGTTGCATGTGTTCAAATCGCGTTAACCGATTTCTTTACTTCATCCCAGGACTTATCGGTGTCGAATTTTCAAAAATAGTTTTCAGTATTTTATTGAATTCACGGTATTTTGGGCTATCGATAGCTATCGAAGTTATCGTTATCAAAGAAATGAAACTATCAATGAAATAATGAAACGCAGTTATCGGTATCAAAGAAAAAATGAAATTATCGGTATCAAGAATAATGAAACGCAGTTATCGTTTTCCGCCCGAAAAGCAACTCTGTTTCGCGTTTTTTTTTTCGCTTAATTTTCACAGTTTAGTTAATGTCGAACGACTTTATTTATAAAGAAACTCTATTTAAAAAAGTTAAGATTTAAAAAAATCGCGGTTTGGTCGTAGTATCGGATTAAAGTAGTAGTCACGGCTATCGAAAATAGAACATCCCTGGCATCGATAGCCCTAAACAGCTGTTTCATAAAACGCAAACCTGAGTCGGAGAGAACAGAATGTGGCTCTCTTTGGTTTGAGCGAACCGGGCGAGTAGCAAACCAGCCAACGCCAGCGAGTCTGTGGAGGACAGAAAATTTATGAAAAAGCACACACAATGCAAAGTAAATGACGTGTTTAAACTATAAACGTAGAGTATTTAGTGCCAGTGAGCCGCAAAGTGTTTAACATCGTCGAAAAGTGCGCGTGGTATGGTGAAGGAGTTAGTTGCAGAAATTCGCATCGGCGAGTCACAAATAACAGCGGCCCCATCACCGAGTAGTAAACTAGCCAACGCCGACGAGTCTCTGGCCAATGTGGTGCAGCCCCCCGCTACCCGTGAGCACCCTTCCTCCATCCGCTAACGCGCAAATATATGCGGACGACAACTAGTTGTAGTGGGCAGCCTTTGTGGAAGCAGCAGGCGAAAATTGTGCAAACGCCAAACAAGGGTAGCGCATAAAAGTTAATTAGCAGTGCAAGCGAAGCTGCGTTGTGTGTTCAGGCACCCATCCGATCCAAGGCACAGCACAGCCTTTGCGGCAGTGATGCAGCAGCAGCTGCGCCAACTATCGAGATTCTAGTTATTGTTGTTGTGGTTTTTGCACCCACCACACGTAACTAGAGCACACAGACACACACCACACACACACACAACACATACACACAGACAACACACAAACAGAAGAACTCTGTTTAGAGGGTATCATCCGCGTCCATCCATACAACACACACACACATCCATTGGCAGTAGATGCAGCAGCAAAAACATTGGAAATGATTTGTAAACAAGACGTCCTGCTGTGGTTTGAGAAACTCGAGAGCTACAATCGCATTGAAACGATGTACGCACTGCTCACCGCCTGCCTGCCGTTCGAGCTACGCTTCCTGGGCACGTTGCTCGAGGAACAGGGCAGATGCGACTCGGAGACGCTGCGCGGAATGGAGCTGCGGGCCAACAATCCCCAAGAGCTGGCCGCCGATATGTTCACCTGCCAGAAGGGCGATCCAACCGACAGGAAGATACGCCGCAAAATGGCCCTCTACCTGGCCCTGATTCGTGTCTGCAACCGGAACTGTGTGAGCGAGATCTATCGCACGCTCGAGTGCTGGGGAGAGTGTGATTTTGGGTGCATCAATGACCAGGACACGCTTCTGGAGCTGCTGCTTGTCTACACAATGGCCGCCATTCATCCAGTCTTCTCGATGGATGAGCAGAAGAAGATCTTTGGGATACTGGGCAAGATCAAGGAGAACAAACTGGTGTCGGATAACTTTCCGCAAGCGCAAATGGAACAGCCACAGACACAGTCCCATCCACATCCACCGCACCCGCACGCGCCGTCCCAGCATGATTTGATAATGCAACAGCAGCAGCATCAACAACAACAGCAGCAGCAGCAGCAGCATGTGATGCATCAAATACAGGCCCAGCAGCAGCATCCACAGATGGTCCAGGTAGTGCAGACGCCGCAGGGCAATATACCAATGATATTCCCCCAACATTTTCAAAAGGTAAGTCTTAAGACCTTACAAGTCAAATCTAGACTTTGCTGAGTTGAGTTGAAAATTCGAACTCAAAATTGTATTCTTCAAATCTGAACATTGTATAAGAATTACACACGAGGCATGAGATACAATTGGGAATTGTATCCTTGTCGCAAGACCCACGGAAAGGATACATTTTTACTGCGGCAGGTTGACTTATGATAAATCATTAAAATTGTTCTGAATGTTTGCTAAACTAACTAAAATCTGCTCTTTCTCTCTCTTTCTGTCAGCTTGTGCCTGGGACCGATGGAACACACCAGATAAGCGTCGATGGCGTGCCACACATGATGCAATCGAATATCACCATTCCAGCGGACACAAGTGCCATACTCGGCCACCAGAACACGGCCGCCGCGTGGTCAATGCGTCACTACGCACCACCGCCACATCCGCAGGCTGCTGCTCAACAGCAGCAGCAGCAGCAGAACCTTGATCATCATGTGCCTCCAGCCTCAAGTTCGCCGATGCTGAGCCAGCAGTCCTCCCCGTCAAGCAGCCGCACGACGAGTCCTCAGCGCTCCAACGTTCCACTGCAGTCGCAGCAAATGCGCAACTTGTCACAACGTTTGACCGGCCACAAGCATCATGCGGCGCGGCGTCCCTCAACAGAGACCACGCCGCCGCCCTCTTCCATTAGCGGGGAGCTGCAGCACGAGAATATTAACGAAGGCGGCAGCAGCAGTTCCAGTGGCACGAGTCTTCCCAGCCTGATACGCAACGGTTTCCAGCGGCCCGCACATCATCATCGAGTCAAGGCGAACGCCTACATACCGCCCCATCAGCAGCAGCAGCAGCATCAACAGCAGCAGCAGCAGCAGCACTTTCAGAACAACGCTTACATGAACAGCCTGATGCAGAACATGAGCATGAATGACGATGGGAGCGGCTCGGTGACGAAGAGTGTTGCCACCACTGGCAGCGAATCGGGCAGCTCGAATGGCTCTTGCGGGGACATATCCCCGCCAGAGACACCAACGCCGCATCCACTGCCATTGCACAGCACAGTGGGCAATCCCGGCATGGGCATGGTCACGACTGTCGTGCACAGCGGCATGGGAGGAGGCTACCAGCAAAAGCACCATCTCACCTATAAGCAGCAGCAGCAGCAAATGAACCTGCAGCAGCGACTGAACGGACGCAATGGGATGGAGAAGAGCTACCAGCAGATCTACACAACGGGTACGCCGAGCATTGTTAGCGATGCCCAGACGATGAGCAGCGGGAATATGCAGCAGCAGGCGCTGCTTATCAGCCCGTCTCCGGTAAGCACGCCCACGACTACGGTCCTGCTGCAGCAACAGCCACAGCAGCAGCCCCCACCACCCACAGCCTACAATGCAGCCTCCTATCCATATCACACACGAGGACCCCCGCCGCAGCAGACGATATTCCAGGCGCATAATGCACCGCCACCGCCGCAATCTGTTCGTGGCGGCTACCGGTTTCCCATGGCTCCGGTTTCCCACAACGGCGAGCTAATCTATCCGGCGTTTCACACGAGCCTTGCCTTCCTGCCGGTACCCGGCACTGGTGGTACGCCCACAGCCGTCACGCCGCCCCAGCTGCAGAATACTGCCGCTGTGGTAAGCACGAATGCTGTGGCGGTACAGACGCAAACGCCCCAGCAGCAGCAACTGCCGACCACGCCGCCGTACAGTGCGCTGACCGTTTGCCCCATCACTGGGGTGGGCGGCGGCGGAGCACCGAAGATATCCTGCTACAATTGCGGCTCGCAGACGCACATTGGACGGGACTGTCAGGAGGCGTCTATGGAGGATGTGACGCGCAGCGCCAGCTATAAGCTGGACTACTCAGAGACTCAGAGCATAGAGGCGAACTCCATAGGTGATCACAGCAACAAGGATATGGGCAGCATTCAAATGAACTCGTCGGTGACATCGCCGACGGCGTCAACGGTGCTGTCCACGGCGGCGGCGGTGACGAGCATCGGGAAATAGCAAGGTGTGGGTAAATCCAGAGTAAGCTTAAAGTCTATATATACGGACCTATATGGAGGAGCATAATTACGTACGTCTATATTAATGTTTATACATAATCCTTATCTACTTATACTGAGAATACCATTTATTATGATTGTGTAGTAGTGCGGAAATCAAATTTCTCGCCCTTACCACGTCTCCTAGTTTTTTATAAGAGCCTCTCAATTCGCGTTATGGAGCATCGGAATAGGAATACGGGTCGGAATAATAGTCGCGCTGCCTAAACACTTGACAAACCTTATCCAGCCCCCTTCCTCCCTTCCCTCCTCCACACATATAAGAATAATTTAAACGCGCTCCAACCCGACACAGCCCACACCCCTTCCCTCCACTGCCCTTCCCACCACACACACACACACACACACAGATAGTCGATAACGAATTTTAGTCATATGCCACTTTGAATATTTCTAATATTAAGTTGAATGTACAACAGCAATAAGTAAACAAAATAATCCTAATCTACGTTATGCGGTTCGCACTGCCGCAGGAAGGAAGGGAGGATCGGATCGGTTCGGTTCGGATCATTCGGTAAACTCAAATGTTACCATTTATCAAGTTATCGAAATAAGTTAAAGACACACACATATATCGTATATCGGAGGCAAATATGCGATGGTCATAATGTAACGTAACGTAACGTAGCACACTCTGACGTTCCGCAATTAAAAGCGCAACCACGCCACGGATAACGGGAATGTAACGTAAAAACGGCAAAACAGTAACAGTAACTGTAAGAAGAATAAGAAGAAGAAGATAGATACGAGATACCGGTTAAAAATAAGAAATTTCGTAGCATACAAAATACTTAGCAAATATAACAAAAAACAAATGATTATGTGTATAAAAACAAATGAGCGTAGCAGCACAATGTGCTTAGTTAACGTTTTTCGTATTCCAAACGCTCCCCTCACCCTGCCCCTCTTCTTACATTTTCATATTGTAGTTATTCTATTTATTTTGAAGATCCACCTCTGTTTAAAAAAAAATGTTTTTAGAACTGTTTCCCCTAATATATATATTTTTTTTTGTATTTTATATACATAACTATATACATGCATCTATACATATATATAAATATTATTTTAAAGCATACAAAACCGTATATGATACAAACTATGTGGATAGGGCGTGTATTAATGCTAATCACGCTGTCTAATTATTATTTTATGTACTCAAAACTTGACTTCCCCGCCCCCTCGAACATGTGTGGGCATTCATCTGTCGTGGCCATTGGCCAAGTTATAGTAAAAAAGATAATGCCAATCAAACACAGAAGCCCACAGATGAACAGAAAATAAGAAAATAAATTGCCTGCCCTTAGTTTTTTATGTACAGACGTTGTTAAAATTTTTTGTAAAGCCCCCAGCAATTTGTAATCGTGTAAAGAGCGAAGCAACAATGCGCCAGAAAAACAAAAAAAAAGTAAAGAAAGAAAGGAGAAGAAAACAAAACGATTTAAGAGAAATACACAATTTACTGAGTTTTGCTGATAATGCGTAGCCGCATGACAAACAATTATTATTATATTTCATTGAAATAATAAAAAATCCAATTGTTTCTAAAATTCGTGTAACAAAACACAAGCTACAAAAAAAAAACCCCCGAGTGATTATTCCTTATAATATTCGAAGTAAATCTCTTTCAGAATAGACGGAGTGACTGAAATGAAAGAGATGTGAAGGTGCAGGTGCAGGTGCACCTGCAGCAGAAGTGCTGCTCTTAAAATGGTTTGCTTGGGCACCCTCTCTAAATTGGTAAGTCTTTTTGGTGTGTGTTTTATCAGCCAGCGTTACAGTAGAGTCACAATAAGCGGGAAAACAAACTAAAATTCTGCACTACGCGAACCCCTTCATGCCCATCAAGCCTTCACTGTACAGTGCATGGCTCGAGCGCAACTTGGGGATTTGGGCAATACGAACACGAACATAAACCAGCAGCGGGTGGATGTTGGGGAATAGCAACACTGGCGTTCTCTCAAGCGTGTCTGTCTTACCGTAACGGCACAGTCATAGCCATAGTTATCGTGTTCGTCTTCAGCTGAGCAGACGCATCGCATTGAGCAGCGGGTGGTACATATTTCCGACTACTTGTAGAATGTAGGAGCTAAACTCGGACCAGAGCTAGAAAACTCCTTGTGGAATAAGTGAAACATACAAAGAAAGAACAAAAGAGGGGATTATTCATTTACACATCGGTAGTGATCAGTGCACATTGTACGGGTTTGTATTTCCACAGAGAAGTACATATAAGAAATCTGAAATGATCGCCACTCTGTAGGTGCTCGTTGATGCATAGCCAAGTGCTGTGCAATGCTGTTGTAGTCTGGGTATCGTTCCGGCCCCCAGGTTCGGCGTCTTTGCCAAGAGTTAAAGAAAACGAAAACATAGACAGCAACAGCAGCAGCAGCAGCGGAGACTGAAACAATGCTCAAAGCCACAAGGAAACCGTCGACGGATATATACAAGTCGAAACTAAAAGTTAATGCCAGCAATAACAACAGCGTCAAACCGCCGCTGCCCATCGAGCTGTCGGGAGGAGGGAAATGGCAGTGGCAGCGGCAGCGGCAGCAGCCCCACCACTCCGCAGAAGCTCAGCCTGAAGGGCAGCCAGCTGGGTGGAAGCATTTTGATTGGCAATTACAACGTGAGTTGAGTGTCCGTCCACTTCTTTCCGTGCTACTATTCGGTACGACTTCCTACTCATCGTTTTCTCTTTTCGCTCGCTGGCCTGGCAGTACTTGACCCAACTGGAGGTGTGCGAAAATGAAATGGAGGTCTTGGACCTCAGCTCGCTGGCCCAACTGGAGACGCTCAAGTGCAGCCGGAACAAGCTAATGGAGCTGATCGTAAATGCCACCAATCTGCAGGCACTTTTGGCCGACCACAACTGTAAGCATGTTTTTCCTATGAGAGTTTACCATATTCAAAGTGTGTCTAATTATTTGCAGGCCTTCACAACATCTCCACAACCAACACACATCCTGTGCCGCTGAAGCTCCAACGCATTGACATCTCGCACAATAATTTTAACGAGCTGCCCAATTGGATAGGCGCCTGTGCAGCGTTGTCGACACTGGATGCATCGCACAATAGATTGACCAACATAGCGGGACTGCTTCGCAACTATCGAATCAATCAACTGCTTGCTCTGAATTTGTCCTACAATGAATTGCAGCAGCTTGAGTATTTGCCCGAGGGATTTGGCAGCCTCCAAAAGCTCCATTTGCAAAGCAACGAGCTGCAGTGTCTGCCGGAGAACTTCTTTGCCGTCACCTATTCCCGTTTGGACACGTTGAACGCCGCCTGCAACAAGCTATCGACTCTGCCGCGGTACGAACAGAATAATCATGCGGCCTTGGTGCACCTGTTTCTGGCTGGGAATCAGCTCAACGACAGCATCTTTGAGGCACTGCACAACGCAGCACGGCTGAAGGTGCTCCATCTCGCCTACAATCGTATTGGAATTCTGCCACCGGCATGCGTACGCAATTGGTCGGAGCTGGAGATTCTGGTGCTGTCGGGCAACATGCTGCAACAGCTGCCCGAGGAGGTGGCCACGCTGGACCACTTGAAGGTGCTGCGTTGCTGCAACAATCTCTTGCTTTGCACACCGCAACTGGCCAAGTTGGGCAAACTGAAAGTCCTCGATCTGTCACACAATCATCTGGATCGCGTCAATCTGCTGTCACTCGTTCCCTCCCGGAATCTCAAGTACTTGGATCTGTCGGGGAATTTGCAGCTGCAGGTGGGTTCAAAATAGTCTCCTATCCAACAATAATCTGACACTTTCGTATTCCCAGGTGGATGAGCAACAGTTCAAGGTATGCCAGACACAGAGTCAGCGTAACTGGAGCCTAATCGATGTGTCTGGCAATAACCGAGCTGCTCTGCCCACCAGTACGTTGCGGCTGGCGACGCCGCAGCGAAATCAAAACAAGAATTCGCCCTGGACAATGGGATTTGCAGAGACGCCCGGATCCGGAGATTGCCGCAAGCTGCTGGTTTGCCAGTTGCGAGCGGCCAACTATGGTGGCTCAGATGAGGCACTGTACGGAATGTTTGAGGCGGCAGATGGCAATGGACGCGTGGCACAGGAGATGGCTCAGCTGGTGCCGGATCTAATGAAGCAGGAGCAGCTGGTCAAGGATGCCCCTCTCAGAGATTACATGAAGTTCACGTTGCTGACGGCCCAGCAGCAGTGCGGAAGTGTGCGGAGTGCCGCCTTGTTCCATCTAACCCGGACGCGGGCACCCTCAAAGGTGAGGCCTTTGAAGAGCAAGCGCTATGTGTTGCGTATGGCTAGCACGGGGCGGCTGGATGCCTATCTGGTGCGTCGCACCACACAGTTGCGCCTGACAGACACGGAATCAAGCGCCAAAGATCTGGGACCAACGCTTGCTATGCCTGACCCACAAGTTCTAGAGGTAGGCTGTTCTCTCTTCCCTGTTTTAGCGAAGCCAACTAAATTGTAGTTTCTTTTTCCCAGCTAACACTGAGCAATGATGATGAGTACCTTGTTGTGGGCAACGCCCAGCTCTGGTCGGTCATGGATGTTGGTCGCGCCGCTCGAGAGATTCGCAAGGAGGAAAACGCTTTGCTGGCAGCCAAGCGGCTAGTGGACATTGCCCAGAGTTTCGGCGCATCGGAGAACCTCAGCGTGATTGTGGTGCGCTTCCGTCATCTGGGAACGGACGTGGATCACCTCATTCGAGAGCTTAAGCAGAGTGTTCGCAAAAAGCCGCCCCTGGTGCAGCCGCCCACTGTATCCGTGTGCAAGCGTACCTGCTGCGATCGCAGCAATGCCTGTCGCCATCGGGCGATCGAGCAGGATCCGCTGGCCGGACGCTCCTCGCCGAGCGGTCAGAGTGATCGTGACCTTCTGTCCAAGGACGCCCCAAGCGTTGTGCCCAACGATGAGTTCATACTGGCGCATGCACGCGTGATGCAGGAGGAGCAGCAGCTGGAAATGCTCGACGAAACGGAGTCTGTGCTGTCGGAGGAGCAGTTCAAGTGCTGGGAGTACATGCTCGAGCAGAACACGCAGCTGCTGTTTGACAAGGAGCTCAACACCATTTCCAAGTCGTTCACCAAGCAGCGAGCCATCCCGACCACGAATCAAGCCCTGCCGGAACGCAACGATTTCACCACCAATCTAGTGCGGAGCGTGGCCAATAAGTTCATCTCCACGAGCACACCCCAGCTGCCGCAACCACTGGCATCCACACCCACGCCGATTGGCTCCTACCATCATATTAAGCCGCCGATGCCCGGCCACTTTGGCAGCACGCTCTCGTTTCAGCAGGCCCAGAGCTGTGGCTATAATCTGTTTGATGCAAAACCCCGCAAGATGGTTGCAGCCGTCCCCGTGAAGCGTGGACCCCACTCAGCTTACTTTGGATCCCTGCAGCGTTTGATGCCCTACAATTTTGAATATGATTTCGCCGTCACTCACGAGCGGGAGCGTAACATATTGGACGAGGAGGAGATCGATGAGGAAGAGTTCAATGAGCACGAGAGTCGTATGCGCAAGTATTGGGGTGTGGCAACAACTGAACTTTAGCGGTAAATTCAAGTAAATTCAAAACATTCCAAATAATCCTAGCCGTTATATCTGTACATACGCATGGGAACTATCGATATCAGTCTCCAATCAACTATCGACACTCTCACGTGGTTCTGCTCCTTCACGCTTCTCTATTTTTAATGTTTACAAGTATCTTTTATTAATTAAACATGCATTTGCCGCAACAAAGGCCGCATCATGACATTGCCGCTTTATTCGCGGCTGCCCAGCCCGACTTTCTGCGGGTAAGTGCGCCCATGGTGCGATACAGTAAGCTAGAGTTTCGACGATTGGTGCGGATGAACGGAGTGCAATTGGCATTCACGCCCATGATGATATCCGACTCGATCAACAACAGCGAAAAGGCACGCCAGAACGAGTTCTCCACGGACCCCGACGATCAGCCACTGATTGCACAGTTTGCGGCCAAGGATGCGACAGAATTCGTCACGTCAGCGCAGCTCATCTATCCCTATGTTGATGGCATTGATTTGAACTGCGGCTGCCCCCAGAGCTGGGCGATGTCCAAGGGGTATGGATGCGGGCTGTTGCGACAACCGGAACGGGTGCGAGAGGTTGTGCAACAGGTCCGGCGGACCCTGCCCTCGGACTTCAGTGTCTCTGTGAAGATGCGTCTTCTTGGCGGCAGTGAAGAGGATTCTGTAAAGAGGACCATCGATCTGGCCCGCCAACTGGAGCACGCTGGAGTCACTTTTCTAACACTTCATGGTCGGACGCCTGCCCAGAAGCATTCAAAGGACACGCTCAATGTCTCCGCCATGGAGGAAGTGCGCAAATCCCTGCACATTCCCCTGATAGTGAACGGAAACGTGGAGTCCTGGTCAGATGCCTGCGAACTACACGCTCAGACGGGTGCGGCAGGCGTAATGGCTGCCCGAGGCCTGCTTGCGAATCCGGCTATGTTCAACAGTGATTACCCGGCAGCCACGACTACTCCTTTGGCCTGTGTGGAGCAGTGGCTGGACATTGCCTCTGCTGCCGGAGATAATTTGCTCTTCCAGTGCTTCCATCATCATCTGACGTTCATGTGGAGCAGCAATATGAAGCGATCCCTGCGAGTCCAGTTCAACAGTCTGGGCACAAAACAACAGGTTGTGGACTTTTTCGGTGAGCACTACAATGTGCGAACCACTACAGCCCGGCCAGAGCCGGCCCTTTACACAGACTGCACGTATACGCACTTCACACCGCCCAGGCATGCGAGGCACATTGCTGCCGAGGCGGAGGAGAAAGCTTGGAGCTCTAAAAGCGATGGAAAATTCTTTACAGAGTTCAAGGCGCATCAAATTACCAGTCCAGCAGGCGATGACCTGGAGCTGGGGGGTCTTTTTGGTGGAGAGGAATGATCAATCACTACATGTACATGTAATTAAAGGCTGGCATCGTAAAATTGTTTATTTTAAAAAACTTGGTTGTTAACCCAGCGATGATTAGTTCACATCGATAGCCAGAAAAAGTAGCATATTTTCAAAAGTCACGGGATACTATCGATACTTCATTCCCATCTCTAATATTCGTTTTACACCCGTGTTGCCAATTTAGCTATTTTCCCACAAGATCTATCGTGTTTCAATTGGAAAATGCGGGATAAATTGTAAATAGCTGGAATTATGGCTACTTTTAAAGAAAAATTGACGTAATATTAGCTTATTAAAAACCTCTGGCAACTTCATGTATTTTAATGCTTTTACGATGCCACACTTACTTTGTCGTACTTTTTCGATTCGAATCGCAAACAACATCGAAAAGCCAAAAGGAAATTCGATAACATCGCTTTAGCTACCATCAAAATTTTCTGGCTATTTCTAGCCTATTTAAAAGGCTAGTTTAGGTTTTATATGACCCAAAGAATTGGCAACACTGACACACACACGCGGACAAACTAACTGAAGCGGAGCCATCTAGAAATTTTTATTTTCACAACCTAGATCCAAGATGGGGCGCAGTAAATTCGCTCCGGCGAAGAAGGTATGGAACTCTAGGTTTGAGCAGGTGGTTGGAGAAGATTGTACATATCTATTGTATTCTAGGTGATGCAGCACGACGAGTTTATGAAGCGGATACGCAAAACGCTCTACTATGGCGTTGGCACCGCGGACGGTGAAATGGAGGTTTCGATGCCCTTTGCGGAATATGCCTCGGAGATATTTTCGGAGCCACATCGTGGCCACTCACTGCATCGCCTGAGCTGCGTGACTGCTGGAAAAATCCAGACCACACCTTGCTCCCTGATCATGGCCCTCATCTACTTGGACCGCTTGAACGTAATTGATCCAGGCTATGGCTATAGAATCACGCCCCAGGAGCTGTTCGTTGTGTCATTGGTGAGTGCTCGTACGATTATCATTGTATCATCATGAGCCTGCATACCTGTTGATTGATAACCTGCACACCCCACCGTACACGAGTGAAAAAAACAAAAATGCCTCCAGATTGTGGAGCACGCGCACACACACACTTTGTGTTGCTTGCTACTGCACTATGTATGAGTATGTTTAGAAGATTATTTATTTAAATGAGGACAGGTTTCAGTATGTGCGCGTTACTTATATAACCTTACCACATACGATATTCGATATGCTATTTATAGCTTCGTCGTGCACGCTGACATGCCGCTGCAGTGACGTCATTTGTTGTGGGGGCTTACTCATTGCGCGTTCTCGTTGTTTACAGATGATTTCTACCAAGTTCTATGCCGGCCACGATGAGAGGTTTTATCTGGAAGACTGGGCCAAAGAGGGCCACATGACCGAAGCAAGGCTCAAGGAAATGGAACTCGAGTTTCTGTCGGCAATAGTAAGAATAATCTCAAGACAAAGTAATTACAATTTAAACTCATATTTGATTTTGTAGGACTGGAATATATACATATCGAATGAACAATTCTTTGCGAAGCTAAGTAGCGTTGAGCGAACCCTTGCCGAACGAGAGGGACTGCGGCGGGGCTGGCTGACCTACAGCGAACTGATGCAACTGCTGCCCAGCTTTACGTGGATGAAATTTCTGTTGAACAGCATAACCGTAATGGCACTAAGCTATGCAGCGAGTGTGATAACCTTGGCGGGTGCCTTTTTCATCGCCAGCCAAGTGCCGGGCACGCTTTGGCATCGTCGAACGGCTACAAACGATGTGGCATCCACGGCAAACTCCACGACACTCACGACACCTGCATCTGCACCGCACGCTACCCAAGCTGCTCCTGTTATGTCCAATGAAATGAACCCATCGTCGCCGGCAAACGAGAGCTGTGGAGCTCTGAATGTGGAAGCTGAACTGCTGAAGCTGGAGCAACAATATTGTGACGAGGCAAGACTGAATGAGGCGAGCAACACGCACCGCTACGTTCGATCCGTACATCTACCACTTAAAACGAATAACCGAAAGCCCGAAATGTTTGCTCCGCGGAACAACGCAGATCACTGGCTAAGCATCAAATCCGAATATAGCGACAGTCGTGACAATCCAAACTATTGGATATCTGGGCACCGCAACCGACACCACGACGACGACTTGGACCACTGGCATCAGGCACAAAACGCGTCCGTGTTCTGGCAATTGGTCAACGATGCAGTGCAGAGTTCGTTCCTTGTCCGCTGGCCAGAAATATGGCCCAAATTAATCTAAAAAAAATTATTTTATTACAATATCACGTTTTTAAATTTTTTTCCTGCAGTTGGGCCAAGTCTCCCTCCTTTGTCTGTAACGTTAACAACAATCTTTAACCGTGCAAATAAACGTATATATATTTTTTCAACTAATTGCAAAGCAATCGAAGCTAAATAGAATTTTGTTTATTCTTTCAATAAGCTCTCTACAATTTGGACTGTTAACATTATATTATGCATATATTTGTATATTTATTTACTCATCTGTGAAGCCTGGGAGTTGGGAATATTGCTGTCCAGACGATCAAGGATATTTTTGTGGTCACATTAAAATTTAATTTTTTTAACTGGATAAATATCCTTGATCCTTGATAAGGACTCCACCGGGGGATGTTGCCATGGCGAAGGCGAATTACTGGAGAAAATTAAATATTTTTTTATCCTTGATCCTTGGTCCTTTACAAGAACTCTATAAAATCGAGGATTTTCTTCCGGTCACGAGGACACATATAGCGTCCTGATCGGAGGAGAAATGACAGAGCTATTGCGTTTTAAGTATTGCTAAAACTAATTACACAAAATCCGCAAATTTGAATTTCGCGCCCTAAGTTTCGTATCGGCCAGCTTCTGACCTGATGTAAAAAAGATAAACCAGCTACCTTCTGCTGACTTCTGTTCGCCTGGTACTCGGTCTGAAAATTTTCTAGTTTTCGTCCATTTGAGCCTAACAATTTCAAAAAGTTAGTTCTAGCATGGGCCGTCAGTGATCATGGGGGCGCCACTGTACAAACAATATTTTTGGCTGCACAGTGGCGCCCCCAATGGTGAACTGCGATTTCTGGAACTAACACAATTTAGTTCCAGCATTGGCCGGCGATGGCGGGGGCGCCACTATATTATTATTTATTATTTAAAATGCGTATAACTCTGCCATTTCCTGTCAGATCTGGGCGTGCCACGCCTCCTCTTAGTCTGGAGAACGTTCTCGATCGTTTGACACCAAGGACACCAAGGATATTGCCTTGGAATCGCTATAAGCCCGCCATATCTTCGTTTGATCAGGCCGGGCCACGTCTCCATCTGATCGGGGAAAAGCTATAGCCGATGGACAGAATGGATCCTAACGATCCTGGAAAGGTAAGTCCTGCCCCGATCCGAGCTCAATTGGCTGAGATATAGCGTCCCAAAGTTTTGGCTGCCAAATATTTAAAATACTGGTTTTTTTTAATCAAGCTATATCTCGGCCAAATAAGGGCAGATCTGGGCGTGGCATGTGTTTTTGTAATCAGGACAGCCCATTTCATCGATTGGCATCAAAAGAAAGGACATTCGGCAAATACTGGTTTTCGCGAAAATGATGATGGTTACATCATGCTTTTTGCGAAAACCAGTATTCCTCGGATCTCCTTTTTTTGGATGCCGATGGACAGTGTGGATCCTCACGATCCTGGGAGAGTAGGTCCTTCAAGGATCTGCCCTTATTTGGCAGAGATATAGCGTCAGGAATAAAAAACCAGTATTTTTGTTGTGACGCTATATCTCGGCTATTTGTCGTTCGATTTGGGCGGGCGACAGCTTTTCGTGATCAGGAGAATCTTCCCGATCGTTTGCAATCAGTTTCGCATCAAGGACATCAAAGATTAAGGCCTAAATTTCTACATCTCTGCCATTTCTCGTCCGATCCAGACGTGATACATGTCCTCGTGGGTGGAAGGGCCTCCTTTATTTTTTAAATCCATCAAGGATCTCAGGACTGCAAGGATATACTTGTTACACGCTATTTTGTAATAGATAGGCCGAATAGACCAGCCTGAAAGAATGCTATACTTTTTAAATGAAGCCAACCCCAAAAGTATGCCATGGTTTTTTAACCCAAAATAACCAAAAAATGCTAAACGTTTTTTGTTTTTATGGTGTACGTTTTTTTTGCAGTATTTTTTTTCTGTTTGTCAAGTAAAATTTTTGTAATTTTCATATGGTATTTTTTCAACAAATAAGTTTAACATTATTTTTGGTTATTTTGGGTTAAAAACTTGGCTAATATCCAATAACCGAACCCGTGCGCGAAATTCAAATTGCGGATTTTGTTTAGTTCTCCTCCGATCAGGACGTTATATGTGTCCTCGTGATATGAAGAATGCCCCGATCGTTTTAACCCAGATTGGCATCAAGGATAATAAGGATAATGCACTTTTATAGTTATTTTTAAATATGAGAAATTCGGTAGGCATTTGATCTTACACTTTTCCTTATACATAACTCTACCATTTCTTGTCTGATCTGAGAGGACAACGGCTTTTTTCTTTTTGGAATAATCTTCTGGATGGACAGAGATTTATTTCAATAGATAAATACAGGACGCAGGCTCATAAACTATTTTCTTAGACACTTTTCAGTGTGGCTTAGTGGAAAGGACAGTCAAAGCAGTTTCTACGTGAGTTTTTCTGTTCTATAAATACGAGTACTGATACTTTTTCCTTTACAGCACATACCCAATGGGTTCTACAATTTGTTTGTCTAATTTGTGCTTGCCATTTGCTAATTTCTCTACAAAAAATGACTTTTTTGATTCCATTTGGACCATTTACAGCTACAATACAATATTCTAATATATATTTTATATGTATCTAAGTACGAAATACTTATAGGTATTCGTTAGCTTGTAAAGGAAACCAAAAACATATACAAACAAATACAAGAAAGAAAGGTTAGCTTCGAGAGCCGAAGATTGTAGTATTACCTAAGCAGATAATTGGGTTTTAGAGTTAAAAACAATTGCTTAATGATATAGTAAACCGATTTTGACTTCTTTTGGCAGGATTATAGAAGAAATTGATTAGTTTATCGTGTGGTAAACAGACAGACGGATAGAAATGGCTTTTGATTACATCTTAAGGTTTCTAGAATATAAAACCCTCTGCAAGGTACACAAAACTTAAGTATTCAGAGCTTATTATAGAGAGTATTAATGCTCTATCTAAACCAATTTTAGTTGCAGTCAGAGCAGAGTCAGTGCGGGAAAATGTACATGTTCTAAAGCCTAAGTTTTGTTTGCTATAAAAGAGTATACATGTAGATTATGAACTAGGATGAACTTTAATAGATTAGTAGGTACATTGAGTGTCTCATTAGTTCGTTTATGCATTGCAACTGGGGCTCCCTTTCGATGGAAATACAATCTGTTGTCTGTTCGTTGAAGGAAATGCCAGGACGTAGACGTGTAAAGCAAATCAATCAGCTGGCAATTTAAGTCTAATATCAAAATATCGAAATAAAATCATCAGATGGTAATAATAAATTAAACATAATAAAGACAAAACAGCATCACTAATTGACCAGCGTAACATTAAGCTAATTAAGTACAACTTTTGACTCTTCTGTGTCGGCTGGAACCACGGGTACAGCCACAGGTGCTTGTGTGCCTGCCGCTTCCTTATTCTCGTCCATAAACCACAAGGGGCACATGCCCAGCAAACAGCCGACCGTGATGCCCACAATACGACCCTGAAATAATTGAATTATTATTATTATTGAATGTTCCTTTGAGGGTGTTCATTGTTAACTTACAACACTGGAGGCTCGCTTGCTGGACTTGAGCTCAAATTGCGCTGGCGCCATTTGTGGCTGCTTGAGGCCCAATATCTGACAGCCGTGCTCCACATACGTGGCCATGGTGATGCCCATTATATCGCTAATGGTATTCCCCAGGCCCGCAGCAGCCATTGTGGAGAGTGTAATGAAATGGCCCATATACACCTCAATGTATTCACCCTGCAATCGAGAATCGTTAGCATTTATTTCGGCTATTTATTCAAAGACAAACTTACAGCCTCGATCATGATGAAATTATCCAGGAAACCAAAGGCTACAAATGGCACAGCATTCACAAAGAAAACTGCAAGGAGCAGACACATTTATAGGGCTTTAATCAATGTCGAAATGTACATGCATATACCCAATACTTACTGCTGTACAATTGTCCTGCGGTGGGTGGCGTTGCCGATTCAACTGCGAATGAGAGAAATGAAAGAAAAATACATTAATCTCTAGTACAGAAAGAAAACGTTAAGTCGGTTAGTCGACTTGCAGTCGAATCTTCTGGGAATGGGACAGGACACCTTTTTGGTTAGTAGCTGATTGATGCTTTACCCAATTTCTTTTGCAGCCATTCATCGGGAACGGCACAAAAAGAGCCGGAAGGATCCACCTGGCCCAATGATGGTTTATTCGAGAGCCGTCCAAAGCGTGTCCGCCAACTGCCAACAGCCAGATGGCCTACAGAATGCGGGTGGGGTCGTTCGTACACATGTATTTATCAGGTGTGTGTGGACAGAGAGTGTGTGTGTGTGAACAAAGTGTGGAGGGGCAGGCAAGCAGGATTGGTTGAGTGTTTCCAGTGTTCGGGTACAGAGTTGTTTGTTGTGTAGAGCGAATGGTTCAAAATCAAGAGGCGATGTAAATATGAAAAAAAGAATATATTAATTGCAGTAATTGTAAATGTTCGATGACTTAAACATAAACTAAATTATGTATGTCTGCTGCATGCTTATAGATAGAATAGATTAGAATAGAATAGAATGTTTAATAGAATATAGGAAATAGGAAATTGTAGTTGGTTGTTTATTTACGGATCCCTGCAGCTTATTTCCGCTTATCAAATATTTTAATAACGAAGCGGGTTTTCCCCTTTCATCTCCCTGACTCTTTAGTTTTCCGCTCTTGGCTATTTACGACCCGCATTTAAGCCACATAAAATGCAAATTGAATGCACTATGACCTTGCTGTTGTGCATGTGCATGTGGTTTATGAAAACGTTCACATATAACAGCTCCTCTATGGTGTATACACGTAAGTGTTTGTGTGTGTTTGCGAATAGTTTTCTCGCATCATCATTCTACCCTGGCAATCGTGGAGCCGAAGGTATACTCGTATTCTTTGTATTTGTGGAGATATGTACATCCAAGAAAGCAAATAAAAGCCCAACTAAAGGAGACTATAAGATGTACCATTACAGATTTGCAGTATTTTAAGTGTATGTTTCTGGAAAATATTTGTCTTTGCATTTGTGTTATATTTTGAATAATTCCGTAAAACATAAAATAAGATACAAATTTTTAATGCACTAATAACTCAAGAATTAAATTTCAGTATGAATTTCTAGTACTGTAATTTTTTAATCTGTTAAACTATTATGATTAAATGCTGTTTTATCCACAATTCTGCAGATATAGGGCTGATTTGATATTTTGTGGAATTAATTACATATGTTCATAGCTATGATACGTTTCAAGGGAATATTTTGTTCATAGAACTGACATATCTTCCCTCTCGTCTCTTCCCTTTAGATAATTTTCGCTACAAAATGTATGTACATTTTACTACTGGGTATCCCGATACTCGTATCTACCAGTAGTCGCCTTCCCCATAGTTTTTCTGTTGCACACTTTCACGCCTTTCAACGCGCCCGTGCACACATGATGTGATGCGATGTGATGTGCGTGTGCGCTGGCTGTGTGCTAAAGGCCTGTTAATAGGACCATTTTACGCTTGTTTTAGCGGAATTTAGTTGGCGGCAACGCATTCGCGCGCCGGGACTAGGAATATACCAACTAATTACATTTGAAGGACGAAAGTCAATGGCTTTATCCTGACAGAATCCCTGTTAATGGGGTTCCTTCTTCTACAAAAAGTGGAGGGTTCTGCCATAATTAGGATACGCCATAAAATCATTAGTTGATCATCATCATCAGCAGGCTTCCCAATTAATTATTCCACCCATGACTCTGAGCGGACTCTGAGCAATCTACTGAACCGCAAATAATACCCGCAGAAGCAGCGGCCGCAAGGGCGCAATTTGTCAGACAGTGTCACACATGAGCATATACACTCGTACGAGCATGATATAAATTATATGCTTGGCATTCACTGGTGACACTGGCGGCCATAAGCTGGGTAATTATGCCATCTCTTGCTCTTGCCTCCTCCCTTGACCCGCAAACTGTTTAACATAAGAATTCCCAGTCGGGTCGCTTAAATCATGTCATAAAATCCTAAGGAAAGCCTTCGGGAGCAATCCTGACCTTGCCACATTCGGTGGCACACTCACTGAGGGACACCTATCCTATTTGGTTGGGGTCTGGTTGTGATTTTTCTCTGTATTCCAATTGAAGTGCCTTTGGCTTCGCGTTTCTTTGGCACGCGACTTTATCTCAATAATCAAAGAATTCTCTCAGAGAGTGGCTGCATGCTGCTTGGCTGTCTCTTTGAAATTCAATTCCAGATATAATATTCAAGTACTTTCAAGTCAAGAGCAAAAGTTCCACCTTTTTCAGGAGAATACAAAAATAAGGAAAAAACTTCATAAAAAGTTAATTTTGCAGAAGTTTTTATACTCTTTCGCTTGGAATATTATTTATGTATCTCGAGAAGCTCCAAAGAAATTGCTGAATAGCTAGAAACAGACAGGAAAAGGTACATATCGATTCTCCACATAATCCTGAACAAAAATTTATATATAGCTTATGGCATTGGCGGTTCTCTTTACAATCTACCTCTGGCAGGGTATAAAAAAAGAAATACTTCCCCTTAGATTTGTTCACGTTTATGGGGGCCACAAAAGATAAACGGGGTGCCATGTTGGCTGAGCAATTTTCTCATCGACTGAGGAGGGGTAGCCACCACCACCACCCAACCACCCAACCGACCAACCCATAAAGAAAGCAACAGGAAGTCACGTCCCCTTCCTCACCCACTTGGGCGGTACGTGTGCGCACAGGATTTTATATACGAGTATAAGGTACGATGTGTGTGCTCTTGAGTATCTGTTGCTGCTGTGAACGAGATTCGAGGCAGTTCACGGCCAGAGGAGAAGCAGAAGCAAGAGCATCACACCATAAAGAGACAGCAGCAGGACCATGCCATCATCAAGAGCAGAAGCATCCCATCATCAAGAGACTGGAGCAAGAATGGAATGCGTATGTGTATAAGGAAAATATATGTTCGTATCCCCACACAGTACATACATATGTATGTCTTTAGAGTGGGGTGGAGTGGAGCTGTGGTGGAGTATTCTCCTTTACAATTTGCATAACACTTACTTTGCATTTAAATTGCAAAAACCATATCAACACATCTCTCATATTTGCTTGCCTTTTATCAGGTCATCTGGTGTGAAAAAGGAGCCACTTTGAGGTCAAATGTTGAGACTAGAATTTGGTTTTTGGTAGGTACTCATAACGAGAAAAAGACAATATAGTTAGTTATGTTAAGCAACTAAGAATACTTCAGAAAGTATAAAATTAGCAACGACATTTAGCTGTACGCATTTGCTTTCCAAAAGCAATTCAGTTGCTGTGGAATTGATGCTTGAATTAACTGAGAATATAACTGAAACAACTTCTACTTCAAGTCCAGGTTCTTTTCCCGTTTCAGCTAACGCGTTACTGCCTTTAAAAATACATAGTATAGCCAGCTAATCCTGCTACCACAATGTGTTACAATCAGAGAAGAAATAAAACCCCGAAGCTCTCAAGCTGAAGGAAGCCCACACACAAAACAGGCAGCCTTGTCAAAGAGCATGGTTTGTGTATATATCCGCTGTATTTAGTTGTGTGTGCAGCCTCCTCCCCCACAGCCCAACCACCCCATCCAGGGGTCCACAGAATCCCAGGCATCCCAGGCATCTGGGAGAGCTTTAAACGCCCGGTTTTCATTTTTATTGCTGCCGCACCTTTCTGTGTGTGTCCTGTGCTCTCTCTCTGACTAACGATTTTCTTTGTTTTATGACCCGAAAAAACACAAGCAGAAAGCAATTTCCTTTGGGTATCCCGATTAGAGGATACACAGCAGCAGTAGGAGCAGGAGCAGCTGTTGCTTCTGAAGAGGCCAGAGATTACTACACGGCAGGACTCGCTGCCAGGCGTGTTGGCACGTGCTTCAAAGAAATTGCCTCACACATTGAATCAAATTACTGTAGCTACTCGTATGTGTACACAGCTACGCGCTGTCAGGTTTTATTTAGAAGATAAATTGCACCTGAATGCACTGGAATTAACCTGCAGTTTGGCTAAAGGATACAGCACATTAAGCTGCAGTTTATTCACGGATAATTCACCCCGTTTTAAATTGAAATTGCCATGATTTTTCAGTATTGATTTTTCAGTGGAAAGTTTTTTATCCGATGGCTTTGGCTTTCAAATTTATAGCCAATCCATTTTGTTCAGAGCATGCGATGTGCGATGTGCGACGTGCGACAGGGTAATTGTTATAAAGTGGAACGAATTTTCAGAGATTGAAGCACTGAGATTCCGTGCTGTGCTGTGCCACAAAATTGGGTCAAATCGGGATTTAATAGAATATGTTCTCTACCCAAAAGGCACTTCCCACTGCCTGTCAAGCCTCATGACTTTTCGCCATACAGCCACAGCCGCAGCCACACAATGAACATCATTTAATGCTTACAGAACCTTGGGCAATGGGGGGTTGGAGCACAACGACCCACCCCCATTCAGCCAACGACCCACCCCAATGCCAAACAAATTGTTCGACTTTCAAGAGTTGGAAGCCTGTGGCGTGGAACTTTTGTGCGGGGCTTCCTTTAGCAGTGGAGTGTGCCTAGCGAACCGCTAATTTCATTAACTTGGGCTAGTACAAGTGATTCGAGCTTTATGGCCTGCCTTGCTTGGCCATTAGGTCATAAAAACCTTCCCTTTTGACACCCCCATTCCCCCAAAAAAGGGAGCAAACTTTGTGGTTCGTGGGCAGAAAGCAACAGGAAATAAATGGTGTGTTTTCTTATGCTTTTCCTTGCCATTACAATCGTTTCTGGTTATTTTTTCTTTCTATTACAATCGTTTCTGTTTATCTATCTTTCTTGTAGAATTGTTTCTACGTTTTCTGCTTAGTTAATTCCCTAGAAATTGTAGTATTTTCTTGTACTCCAAAACTAAGTTAAGTGGCCGTTTAGACACCAAACTGAAGACAACGAAAGTTTTTCCGTTTCTGTTGATTCGTTAAAAAGTTTCAAGGGGAGGGCACTCAACGCGTCTATTTCTACAAGTACCATTTGCAGGCGAAACTTTGATAGTACATACATATATATTGTAGATATAGTGTTCAGGTAATAGTGGTTCTGACGTTAGAAATTAATGGCCGCACAAGATGCGTCAGTACTCATACAACTAGCGTTTAAATAAAGAAAGATTGACAGATATGAATTTAGTGACTCAGATGATTTAGGTATATATAATACTTATAGCAGACGTGCGCATGCATTTTTAATTTTGGAAGCAGTCCAACAACTGTAAACGGGATTATCAGGCATTCTCTTTGGCACTTTTAGCTTGTGCATCATTGGAATTTATGATTTTTATGAATATGCAAATCCTCTAATATTCCTGTTCCATGAGGACACATTTTCCATAACTGAAAGGACAGCACGGGCAATCCAAAAATGTAAATTTTAGCACTCCAAAGCCTTCAAAGACTATTCCTTTAAGCACATAAATTTCCCTTAATAACTAACTCCCACCCAAAAATCCCTCTAATCACCTTTAAAGTTTTTCGGCTATCTCTCAAGCACGTGCTGCTGGTGTCTTGGTGTCTTTGGTGTCTAAACATTTGTTCAACATTCTGCCCGGCATCCACTAAATCACCGTCAACGAGTTCTTATCTGCATTTGCCGCAAGGCGACAGGCGTTACGTGAGCAAACCACGAAGTGCTTTCACTGATTAGTTAAGACAATGCCGTCAACAGACGCCTCTGAGCCTTTTGAACGACCAACCGTTGGCGACTGTTTAAGTCCAAGGCATTTTCACCCAACATTTTCGCTGTGACAACATCAGAACCAGCGACATTTTGCCAGAGGTTGCGGAAAAACTAATCAGAAAGTTTGCAGTGTGCAAAAGTTTTTGTTTAACTCTGGCAGGAGGTGCAGGGTATTTTAAATATGGGAAGGTTAGTTCTTAATCAGTAAAGGCGTGGCTTTTCATTGAATATATCTAAAGGAAAGTTAGTCTTTAAGGTAGCTGTTCTATCTTACAAATAAAAGACAGATAATTCAACAAGAATTTTAAAGTTATGGACTGGAATGTCTCTCCAACGAGCAACGAGGTTCAACGAGCAGAGTGATGTACGAAAATTGAAACATAAACAGGACGTATCTACAACACTTTGCCTGCTAAACTATATAGAAATTTAGTTAATTTATCATACAGATTCCAGTGGGAACTTTTTTACGAGGCACATGATACTCTCTATTCTATATAAACCCACTTTGACGGTCTGAAAGTGTATCTAATGCTACATGTACATTATTTCATATTCAATTAAAAGCAACTTGCAACAAGACCATCGAGAAAGCAGTAAAAGTTGTTCCTGCTGCTGCTGCTCTTTTTTTTTTGTTTGCTCGAAAAGCTCTCTAGGGTCCGACGGTTGCTGCTCAAATTTTAATGAGCAGCGAAAAATTTCAAACGAAACTAAATCCAGGGGCATTGCGTTTGCTTTCTGTTTTGCTTTTACTGCGTAAATAAATGCACATATTTAAAGAGTTTGTTTTTTCTGGACAGCGCCAGCGACTTTTGCTGCAGGCAGCGTTAGAGAATATTCTGTTTTAATTTTCATTTAAATTCGAAGCAAACCGAGCGGAGCAAAGGCTAAAGCAAATATTGTGTTTGTTTGTCAAACAACCAGTTTTTTCCGCCTGCAAACTGGTAAATTCTAAAATGGTTTTGTTTATTTTTTGATGTATTTAATATATGCTGGAGCGAAAAAAACGCTGTGGTATGAATACTACGCCTGAGTTATAGATTGAATTTGTATCTATTACATTTCCTAGAATTATTTCAATCGGGTAGTTTTTACTCCTTAAAAAATGGCTCTATTTAGAGCTTGGGTATCCACAATTTAAAGGGTAATAGGTTTTTTTTTTTGTTAGATACATAAACGTTTTATCCACCCATCTACCCAAAACCATTCAGATATGAGGGGTAATGCTGCCAGAAACAAAAATACGAAGAGTTGGGAATGGTTTTTGCTAGTGATATCTGTCAAATGCAATTTGTGTGGCTTGGCGCCTAACTGAATGATGAACAGCCGCACGTGGGGATGGATTTTTCTATCCAAAAAATACACATGTTGCACGTAGTGCCAAAAAAGGAAGGCCAAAATAATAGGACCAGAAACTGCTTCCATTCAAACGCAGGAAGGGCGAATGGGAAATGGCAAATCTGTGGTGATTTCTGGAACAAGAAAGGACCTTGGTCACGTACGCACACAGTCCAGAGGACTGGCAGGACACCCAGATAGAAGGAACGGCGATTGAGCCTTCCGACCGTCGGTAGAAAAACTCTCGCGTCATGATGAGATGACATTGGGAGCCCCTTTTTGTCTATTTTGATTGTTTGGGAGAGTACTATTTCTGTGGAGACCAGACCTGCGTGTCGGATGGGGGCGGTGGCTGGTGTGTGTTTCAGTTATTGCTTACAGCTTAACAAACTGGCAAATATTCAAATAGTACTCGTATACTCGTATAGAGCTGGACAAAATCTAAATAATAACAATTGCGATTTGGGCAATTAGCTGTGTGTGGGGACATTGTAAAGTTTTGTTAAACGACATGGTATATCATTTCACAGCTGAGCGAATCTCCCGCAACTGGTATATAAATGTGGGCCATATCTTTGGAGATAAATCAGTTTGTGATTCGATTCATTGGGATAACATCTAAATATCAAAATAGTAGCAAACAAATATGGCTCGCTTTGTGTGCTCTCTGCTCGTTGTGGTGCTCCTGGGCGCCGTTCTGGTGCGCGGCTTTGACGAGAAGGAGGCCATGGCCAAGATGATGGAGGCCGCGGAGGGCTGTCTGGGCGAGGTGGGCGCCAAAGACACTGATCTGCAGGATCTGGTCAAGAAACAGCCGGCCACCACCTACGAGGGCAAGTGCCTGCGTGCCTGTGTGATGAAGAAGTTTGGTCTGCTCGATGGCAACGGAAAGCTGGACACTGCCGCCGGACACGAGAAGGCCAAGCAGTACACCGGCAACGATCCTGCCAAGCTAAAGATTGCCATGGAGATTGGTGATATCTGTGCGGCCATCAATGTGGCCCCTGACCATTGCGAGGCTGCCGAAGCCTATGGCGCCTGCTTCAAGAGCGAGGCCATCAAGCATGGCTTGATGTAAAGGAACCCTGCAAAATGATGGAACCGGACTTGAAGACCCGTACCCGGAGTGGCCACTCCACGAGAAAATCTGTTTAAGTTTAATGTAATTCTTGGAGACATAGTAAATGATGGCGTTTTAAAAAGCAAAGCACTTACTCTCGTACATCTTCTTCTCCTTGTCGGCAGCTATTTTGCCCATGGCGTCGCGCAGATTGTGGCGCTCCTCCTCATCCAAATTGCACAGCAATTCCATGGCCCGCTCCTCGCTTAGGTGGGTGCTGAACTTTGAGTACCGTCTGTGGGTCAGCAGGGGCGTCTTTTGGAGCAGGGGCGTCTCTTGGAGCAGGCAGAATCTGCGGGCTCCCATTGTCGTTGTTGTCGTTGTTATCGTTGTGGGCGCTGCTGTCGCCTGGCAGTGACGCACCAGGTGCCTTAATGCAGCCTGACATTGTCGTCGCATATTCACAGTGTTTTTCTATTTTTTATATTAATAAACTATTACACAATTATCAACGGAAAGATGATCGAATCGTTGTTGTGACGTCACAAGTAAGTGAGAGCGGCGTGGGAGTATAAACAAAAACAGAAACTTTGCCACGACACACGCACACACCAACACAAACACACAAAGCACGCACGCACAGACGGTTTTTTTCTGAATTCAGAAAATATTTCCACACTAGTCTTCCGCGTTTTCCGTGTTTTTTGCGACTGTGATAACGATACGGCCAAAAAAGGGGAGCCATTGGAGCCAGGCAGTCAGGCGATCCAACGAGACTTAACCCACTAAGCACCCCTCTATTTAAAATGTTGAGCACCCTTTGTTAAACCGCTGAAAATAATACTGTTTGTAACGGCTCCGTGTAGCTCCATCCTCCTCTTTACTTACAAAACAAAAATGACCACCGACATCTTTCACCTGTAATGCGGAAAATATGTTAAAGTTATATAAATTTCGTGGAAATATTCAATACCCCCCTGGTCGACAATGGGTTAACGTTCTATTGTATTGATTGAAATCGTATTTCATAATTTTGATATTCAGTTTAATATTACGAGCTAGTTGGCCCTCTCAGGCTTAAACAAATAATTTTATCCGATAGATACATAAATTTTCTACAAGATTGGCTAGTTTTCAGAGGTCTTCTTCATTGGATTGTTTATATAATAAGGTTCAAACTAGTTGTTAAATCTAACAACTCTGTTCGTGGAGAGGGTAGCAAACATCTGATTAGGCAAACTAGGGATGTGATACTCTATACTTTAAAACAATATGTATCGATACTTTTGTGCGAAGCTGTCGAATTTTATTATGTTACGCATGGTGTATTGGGCCAATGAGGTTGACATGTCATGGCAACGACTGGTCACTTTTTAAATAAGAGCGGGAGTTTGAAAATGCCAATAGAGCTTACTGGGAAATTGTTAATTATTATTCATTAAAAAGTAAAATTTTGATGGAAAAGCAACAAATTATTTATATTTTTAAGACATTTGAAAGTTTAACCATATAATAAACGATGCTGTTTTTGGCTGAGGTGCTTCACAAATATAGTGCCTCTGCATGATGCAAGGCCTGGCATTTAAATCATTGTAACTTGCGTTACTGCCCCGTCTATCACCAAATAAGTCGCAATGCTCTATTCCATCATAATTATTTGGCTCCGTTGGATACCAGATATCCAATGTCAGGGGCTTGCCAGTTGAGAACCAATTATGTTTCCCCTCATTGCCCAAGTCATTGCCTGCGGTCCAGTATACATAAGCGATGTTCATTTTTATGAGATACTGATTGACAAAGTCCCATTCCTCGATGGTCTCGAATGCAATCAGGTCGGCATTTATGCGGCGACACGTCTCATAGGCATCAAACCAGTTCTTTTCTAGCCTCGTTTCAATATAGTAGTAACCATTTCCGATTTTAATAAATGGCGCAATACTTATGTTCAGGGATTCAGGCACTCTTAAAAAGAAAAAAAATTAGTTGTGGGGAGGAGAGAATTTGCTTTAAGACTTTCTGTAAGGATATAGTCTTACCGTCCATAACTTTGGAAGTTATATTATAACCTCCAGATAGGGCGAGCAAGCCCAATAGGGCCAATACTCCAGTGTATTTTCGATACATTTTGCGTTGACAGTGCCGATAAATCTCAGAGTGAACTCTTTTATACCACAAAACAATCTAAGCTATCTTATGAAGAAGGGCAGCTTATATATAATTGTTAACATAGTCATTACAGATAAATATTTGAAGCATCAATCACTTGAGAAAACTTATCAGTCGATTTCATTTGGTACTCGTATTACGCGGAGCTTCTCCGTACTTAGTGTAAACGCTTTTTATACACCAAAACAATCTCAATTAATCTTATCAATAAGGGCTCACTGGAGAAAGCGAGTTCTTAATTGTCCAGAAGTTAGTTTGCTCTATTAGACCTCCCGTTTATGGGTGATTGAACAATTGCCTTGTCTTGTCGGTGATAGCTGAATGTAAATAGAATGAATAAGAAACAAATTTACAAGAGGGTAAAGCTCTTCTTCGACCTGCAAATGTCGTGTTCTGTATTCTGAAAGAAAAAACTATTTTCGAAGGAATATGATTCAATCAAAGACTCTAATACAATAAGTTAGCGGGGAAGGAATTAAATTTTATTTCAATCAATTTATATTTGAACTTAAAAATCCTTCACTAATTTCACCATATAATAAACGAAGCTGTCTTTGGCTGGGGTGCCTCACAAATATAGCGTTTTGCCCAACTGCATTGCGCATCATTCAATCCAGTGTATGCCATCTTTTGATCTTTCCATCCCATTTCGTCGCAGTGCTCACCCCCATTATTATCAGGCTGACTTGGATGCCAGATATCCAATGCCACGTCATTCCCAGTCGAATGCCAAACATGTTTGCCTTGTTTCGCGGAGTCGGTCCCTGAGGTCCAATACAAATACTCAATTTTCATGTCCCTTAAATACTTATTGACCAAATCGTATTCCTCCATGGTCTCAAATGAAATTAATGCAGCGCCCATCCGACGACAAGATTCGTAAGAGTCATACCAGTTCTTTTTTAGCTGACTCTCGATGTAATAAAAACCATTGCCGATCTTTACAAATGGTGCTGTCGAGGTGTTCGCGGTATCAGGCAATCCTAAAGGAGAAATCAAAGAATTAGATAAAGTGTTGGTTAGTTAATTCCGAAGATCTCACCATCAGTAACAATTGGTGTCACTTTATACGCTCCACACAGGGATAGAAAGCCCAATCAGGCGACGAGTCCAGTGTATGTCAGAAGCATTTTGCAAAGACTTTATGATGCCTCTTTACGGTTCATCTCCCATTTATACCCCAACAGACAAAGCAATCTTATCAGATTGACGATGTATTGGGAAGTACGACAAAATACAGCTACCTGCTTGTACCTAGAATATTGCGACACAAATATCTGTTGCCAATATTTGATTGATTTTAATTAAAAATCAACATCTTTTTTTTTACAAAGTACATGCATCCATATTCACTCTGATCTCAGGTGCCACAAATGAAAAACAATAGAGACGTCTTGACTGAGCGATGGAGAAACACAGCGCCTTGCTGTACAATGTATATATACGTAGATATACTCAACAAGAATAATTCCTTCAAAGTCTGAATTGAAATGCTCGATTTATATTCTCTTTAGAATGTTATCAAAGGGATTACTATACTACCATATAATAAACGATGCTGTCTTTGGCTGAGGTGCCTCGCATATATAGTGGCTCTGGACAGAGCATTGCTTGTCATTCAGTACATTGTGCTTGACATTAGTCGCATACCAAAATTCATCGCAGTGCTCGTTTCCGCCGTGATTATTTGGGTCCCCCGCATTCCAGATGTTCAGTGTGACGGGCTCTCCTGTTGAGTGCCATACATGTTTACCCTGGTACGCAAAATCATTGCCTGAGGTCCAATATGCGCCATTGATTTTCCGTTCTACGATATAATCATTGATCAAATCCCATTCTTCGAGGCTTTCAAATGAAATCAAATCGGCACTCATGCGTCGACACGACTCAAAGGCATCAAACCAGTTCTTGTTCAGGGTACTCTCAATATAATAGTAGCCATTGCCGATCTTCACAAATGGTTCTGTGGTAATATTCGATAATCCAGGCAATCCTAAAGGAGAATTCAGAGAATTAGATAAAGGTGTTGGTTAGTGAATTCCGAGGATCTTACCATCCGCAACAATTGGTGTCACTTTATACGCTCCACACAGGGAAAGAAAGCCCAAGCAGGCGACGAGTCCAGTGCAGCCGAGAAGCATTTTGCCAAGACTATGAGTTGGATTTTGTAGTTTTCCATTTTATACTGAAAAGAAAAGACTTATCAAACATATCAAATATTGTGAGCTGCTATAAATGACATTGTTCAGGCTCAAGAGCTGTGTGTACATGGCAAGATATTCTTTATCTCTATGGCGTTGTCTCTGCACACTAAAACCTCTTTATGCCTTTGGTAATAATCGAAATAAATAATACGACTTTTGTAGAATAAAATATCAGTTTATAGGGGGGAGGGGGGATTGGTTTGGATTCGTGCTTATACAACTAAATGGCAAAAATCTTGACAATAGATTGCGAGCCCAGTCAGCAGCAATGGGTGTTTGGGGTGTGGCGCGTGGCGTGGCGTACGAGATATGATCACTTATTTATATTCCGGAAATTATTGTTATGTGCAATCGTTGGCCCGCTGTCCGGGTATGCCGCGCAGCTCCTGGTTGAGGGTGCGCAGCAGCGGATGCTTGCCACAGCCGCAACGACCGTGGAAGTCGTCCAGATCCAGGGCCCAGACCATGCCGCCGCCAAGTTTCAGACTCCGCACGAACTGCGCCTTGCGTCGAATGTCCGCCACATCGTCGTAGGAGACCCACTGATTGCCACTGTAGGCATACGGTCCGATGCGACCCTCCTCATCCCTGACCACAGTCCAGCCGCCGTTGCTGACCTTCTCGCAGATCTCGTAGTAGGCCAGGAATCCGCCAGCACGGGTGTAGGTGCCCGCTTGTCCGGGTCCCGCGGTCTTGTCGTTCAGCGAGCGATGCTTCTGGTCGGTGAGCGAAAAGGATTGGCCATAGAGGGGCATGCCCATGATCAGCTTGCTCGCGGGTGTGCCCTGATCCAGCCAGTAGTGAATGCTAAAGTTTCCATTAAAGTAGGGATTGGCATCGCCCTCCACATAGTACAGTGGCGCCACATGGCCTGTCTGCTTGTCCCAGTGCCCATGGAAGTCGTACGTCATCACGGCGATCCAATCGAAGTAACGCGACAGCTGGGGCACATCGTAGCCCGCATCGATGACCATCTTACTGGGCGACACAGCGGCAGACAGAAGCAATCCTTTGGGCCGGAAGGCATCCGAGAGTTCCCTCACCAATGCCGCAAATCCCTGCTTCTCAGCGGGCGATCCCTTGGCGCAGTCCACCTGCCAGCACACGGGATACTCCCAATCGAGGTCCAGTCCCTCAAAGCCGTACTTCTCCACAAACTGCAGGACACTCTCGATGAAGCGGGCCCGCGCCTGTGGATCGAGCACCAGACGGGCATATTTGCTGCCCAGTGAATCATTCCATCCACCAATGGCCACGGTTACACGGATACCCCTCTGCTTGTACTCCACCACGCGCTCGTAGAACCTATTGTCGATGTCCGCCCACGAATCGTGCGTCTTGATGGTCAGCGAATTGCTGTTCAGCACCGCAAAGCCATAGACAATGTGGGTGCACAGATTGGCGTCGATATCCTCGGGCACGTACTTGCCCTGGCCGGGCCGATACCACGCCCAATTGGTGAAGTAGCAGACGACCTTGTAGTCCTCCCCACTGCCCAGGGGCGGTGAAGGTGTCGGCTTGGGCCTCGAAATGGGCTTCTTATTGGGTGGCGTAAATGGTTTCTTGGTGGGTTTCGGAGCTGCAGCAGGAGCGACTGTGGTGGAGCTGCTGCTAGTGGGTTTTGGTCGATGTACGGCCGGTGCCTGAGTGGTTTGATCCGCGCGCACTGAGCACTTGGCATTGTTGGGCCAGTCGCAGTAGTTTTCATTCCAATGGAGACCCGCTGGGCAGCTATAAACAAGACATTTAGCATGAACAAAGGGGCATATAAAGCTATTATTCTGAGTGACCTACCGCTGCTCTACAAGCTCTCCGTATTGGCAAATGTAATACTTATTGCAGTCTCGCTCATGGGCCAAGTAATTCCTGCCTTTGCAGTCGATTGGCTGCCCAGCAGCGGCTGCTCCAGTGGTTTCTATCAGAGGAGCGGCACTCGTGTTGATGGTGGGCTTGGGGGACACTTTATCGCCAGAAACTAAAACAATAACAGTCCAAAATACATTAAAGATCCTTAGATATAGGCTATATGCCAGCACTTACTCATAGTTTTCTCACTCTTCTCCAGCAAACACTTGGGATGCGGTCCCCCGTAGCCACGCAGCACACGATTAATGGTCTTCAGCAAGGGATACGATTCACAGCCGCAATCGTTTTTGAAATCATCCAAATCGAGTGCCCAAATCATGGCACCGCCCAGGCCCATGGCCTTCACATACTCGCTCTTGTGGCGGATCATTGGCGCATCGTCAAAGGACACCCATTGATCCCTGAGATAGGCAAAGGGACCCATTCTGCCTCTGGCATCTCTGACCACATTCCAGCCACGCTGTCGGATGTACGTGCAGATCTCGTAGTAGGCAAGGAATCCACGTGCTCTGGTGGCCTCTCCCGCCTCGCCACCGCCATAGGTGGGCGCATTCAACTGATGATCGTTCGACTGGGCCAGAGAGAAGGACTGGCCGTACATGGGCATGCCCATGATGAGTTTCCGCCGATCGGCGCCACTCTCCAGCCAATAGTTGATGGAGAAGTTGGCATTGAAGGTGGCGGTGCCATCGGGATGCTCGTACATGGGCGCCACATGTCCCGTTTGCTTGTCCCACTGTCCATGGTAGTCGTAGGCCATCACAGCGATCCAATCGAAGTAGCGCGACAGCTCGGGCACATCGTAGCCCGCATCGATGACCTTCTTGTTGGGCGACACGGCAGCAGACAGCAGCAGACCCTTGGGCCTGAATGCCAGCGATAATTCCCTCACCAAATCACTGAATCCTTGCTTCTCATCCGCAGTGCCCTTCTTGCAGTCCACCTGCCAGCACACCGGATACTCCCAGTCCAGATCCAGGCCATCAAAGCCGTATTGCTCGATAAAGTCCATCACATGGCGAATGAATCTCGCTCGTGCCTGGGCACTCCGCACCAGACGCGCATACTTGTCGCCCGCGGAATCGTTCCAGCCGCCAATGGCCACGGTGACCTTGACGCCCTTCTTCCGGTAGGCCACCACACGCTCGTAGAACTTGTTGTCCAGATCCGCCCACGAATCGTGCGGCTGTATTGTCAGCTTATCGCGATTCAGGACCGCAAATCCATAGACAATGTGGGTGCACAGATCCGCATCGATGTCCTCGGGTAGGAACTTGCCACCGCCCTGACGGTACCAGGCCCAATTGGTGAAGTAGCAGACGACCTTGAAGTCTCCTGGGGCTGCCGTTTCCGTTTCCATTTCAAAGTCACCCTCTTCGATGTCTTCGTTGGGATCGACTTCGTTTTCCTGTGAGGACTCTGAGGAGCCGCCTGCCTCGTTGCTGGACTCTTGGGAGGATGAGTGCTCTGGCTCTGCTGCCTCCACTTCCACGGCTTCGCCTTCGTTTTCATCTTCTCCTGAGGTTGCTTCTCCCTCAGCTGCTGCTGCTGCTTCCTGAGAGGTTTCTCCTCCTGCTGCTGCTGCTTCCTGAGAGGCTCCTCCTTCTGCTGCTGTTTCTTGAGATGTTTCCCCTCCTGCTGCTGCTGCTGCTGCTTCCTGTGAGCCTCCTCCTGTTTCATTCTCCACAGATGCAGTGCCTGCCTCCTCCGAAATGGCCTGTTCTTCCACAGATTCTGGTTCCACAGGGTTCAATCCCGCTACAAAGCAGAATTCTTGGCATTTTCAAACGAAAACTAAATGACTTTAAGGCCAAACTCACGCGCTGGCTCATAGCCACTGGGTGGATCCTTGAGGACATCATGGATTTCCCTTAGCAACGGATGCACTCCCTCGCCGCAACGATTACGGAAGTCATCCAAATCGAGTGCCCACACCATGCCGCCGCCCAAGTCCAGGGCTCTAACCAGCTGGGACTTCTTACGAATCATCTCCGGATCGTCATAGGACACCCATTGGGTGCCCTTGCGCGCATAGGGACCCATGCGGCCACGTTCATCCTGGATAACCTCCCAGCCTTGATGCTTCACACGATCGCAAATCTAGTGGCGGAACAATGGAGTGAGTTTGCTTTATGCCTAAGGTAATCCAAGACGCACCTCGTAGTAGGCCAAAAAGCCTGCAGCTTTGGTGAATTCGCCTGCCTGGCCGGGTCCTGGTGCCTTGGCATTCAGCCCGTTATTGTTGGCATTCTCCAGGGTAAAGGATTGGCCGTATAGAGGCATGCCCATCACTATCTTTCGGGAAGGAGCTCCCTTTTCAATCCAGTAGTTGAGGGAATAGTTCTAAGAGAAAAAAGGAAAATTTTAATAGAAAATCAATAGAAATTCTCCTGCTGTAATACCCACCGCATTGAAGTAATCGAAATCATCATCTGGATGATGATACAGTGGCGCCACATGGCCTGTCTTCTTGTCCCACTGTCCATGGAAGTCGTAGGTCATCACGGCAATCCAATCGAAGTAGCGCGACAGCTCGGGCACATCGTAGCCCGCATCGATGATCTTTTTGCTGGGCGACACGGCTGTGGAGAGTAGCAGCCCGCGTGGTTTGAATGCCTCCGACAGCTCACGCACCCAGGCGGTGAATCCTTCCTTTTCTTCGGCGAATCCTTTGCTGCATTCGGTCTGCCAGCACACGGGATACTCCCAGTCGAGATCCAAGCCCTCAAAGCCATACTTTTCAATGAAGTCGAGCGCATGCCGTGTGAATCTGGCACGTGCCGAGGGACTCCGCACCAGGCGACTGTATTTATCGCCCTGCGAGTCGTTCCAGCCGCCCAGAGCGAGGCTCACCTTGATGCCCTTGCTCTTGAGGCCGCTGACACGCGTATAGAAGTTGTTGTCAATGTCCGCCCAGGAGTCGTGGGTGCGCAGCGTCAGCTCGGAGTAGTCCAGCACTGCAAATCCATAGACCACATGGGTGCACAGATCCGTGTTGATATCGTCGGGCGTATAGCGGCCCAGGCCCTTGCGGTACCACGCCCAGTTCGTGAAATAGCAAACGACCTTGTAGTAGCCATCCAGTGGCTCCAGCAGAGGCTTCTCCGTGGGATAAGTGGGTCGTGCCGTGGTTGTGGGTTTCTTTGTGGTGGGCGCAGGCTTGGCTGCTGCCGGCGGCTTCGGTTTGGTGCCAGACCCTCCGCTGGATGGACCACTGCCGCCATTCTGATTGCATTTGGCAGCTGCTGGCCAATCGCAGTTACCTAGAGCTTCATTGTAGTGCAAACCCGGTGCACAGTCGGCTGCCTGCAGGCGATTCCACAGGCAAAACAGATACTTGGAGCAGTCTCCCGGATAGGGCACTCGCTCCTCGCCATTGCAGGGATCCTCTTCGCTGCTACGCGTCGATTGTGTGATTCTCAGATACTTTTTGCTCGTCACACACTGCACATTCTGCGGCCAATCGCAGATCTTTCGTAGGCCGTCCCAGTGGAGATCTCCGCCGCATTCGCTGGGCACCAACGCACCATTGATGCAGATGTAGTACTTGCCGCAGTTCTTGTGCGTGTAGTACTCCCCCTCGTTGCAGCGCGCCGACATAGGAGGTCTGGGGCGTCTTGTGGTGCGATGTGGTCGCTTGGTGGTGCTTCCAGCCACGGCGGGTGGTCTCCGCGTGGTGCTGCCTTCCACTGCCGCCTGCTGCTGCGGAGACTTTGTGGTTTTCCGCGTGGGCTTGGCACTGGTTGTGGTCTTTCTGGGTTTCTTCGACGTAGAAGTGGCCTGAGGTCTCGCTGTGGTAGGCTGCGGAGGTGGCGGCCTTGCCGTGCTCGTCTCCCGCTTCACCGAACATTGCGCAGAGGCTGGCCAGTCACAGCCCTTCGCGTCGTTGTTCCAATGCAGGCCACCGGGACAGAACTGCTGCCGCAGTTCCCCCGCAATGATGCAGTGGTAGTAGGCATTGCAGTTCTTCGCATCCGCATAGAACTCTCCTGCGGCGCAGTTCGAAGGCTGTACCACGGGATAGATGACAGCAGCAGCGGGTATTGTGGTGTGTGCGGGTCTGGCGGTGGTTCGTGTGGGCTTACTGGGACGTCTTGTAGTTGTAGAACTCCACCAGGAGGTGGTAGTGCTTGCTGTGGTGGTACTTTTGGGTCTCTTGGTCGTGGTAGTGGGCGGTCTGGTCGAACTTGTGCTTGGCCTGGGCTTCTGTGTGGTGCTGCTTGCCTCCCAGCTGGGCCAGGCTGTCGTATGCTGATGATTCTGCCCGGATCCGGCCGATCCATCGCTGCTTATGGTCGTCATTTGAGGCGGCAGAGGTGTCACCGCTGCCGGCGGACGTTCGCAGTTGGCGCGCGTTGGGGGCTCTGTATTCAGACGACCCAATGCCCGATTGATGGCCTTCAGCAGAGGGTACGATTCACTGCAGCAACGATTCTGGAAATCATCCAAGTCCACCGTCCAGGCGGCCACACCCGCAAAGTCATTGTTGGCCGCATATCGGGCCTTGGCCTCCACACTGGCCGGATCCTCGTAGCCCACCCACTGATCCTTCATCATGGCATAGGGACCGGATCTCCTGTTCGCATCCCTGCCCGTCAGCCACTTGGACTTGCGAATGCGCTGACAAATCTCGTAGTAGGCCAGCATGCCCGGCTGTTTGGTTAGCTCTCCTGCCTCGCCGGGTCCTGTGGCCGTCACGCCTTCGCCCACCAGCTTTTGTTGAGTTCTTCCCAGGGTAAAGCTCTGGCCGTAGAAGGGAATGCCCAGTATGAGCTTCTCCCGACGGGCGCCCATCTTGACGAGCAGCTGCATGGTGTAGTCCGTGTTGTACTGCGGATATTTATCCGTGCTCTGGCCATAGAGCGGACTCACATGACCGGTCTGTCCCTCCCAGGCGCCATGATAGTCGTACGTCATCACCGTCATGTAGTCCACAATGTCCGACAGGGCAGACAGCTCGTAGGCCTCTGTGATGATCTCCTTATAGCCAGATATGGCCACACCCAGCTGAAGTTTGGGGTTGACGCGCTGGAACTCCGTTCGCAGTTCCCTCAGGAGCTTGGTGAGATTCGGTTTATCGCTCGCTGGTCCCTTGGAGCAGTCGCTCTGCCAGCACTTGGGATAATTCCAATCGAGATGCAGGCCACTGAAGCCATGTCGCTGCAGGAAACCCGTCACACTGGAGGCAAAGACCTTCCGCTTGATGTCATCGCTGACCAAACGGGAGTACTTATCGCCACTGGAGTCCGTCCAACCGCCCATGGCAATCAGCACGGGTACGCCCAGAGAGGTGATCCGCTTGTAATACTGATTCTCAATGTCCACCCAAGGATCAAACTCCCTTATGGTCAAATGGTCCGGATCCAGCGAGGCAAAGGAGTAGATGAGCGCAGAGCACAGCCGCGGATCGATCTGTTCGGGTGCAAAGTGCCCATCAGCCTTGCGGTAGAAGGCCCAATTGGACATGTAGCACAGCACCTTGGGTGCTGAATTGTAGTTTTTCTTCTTGTCGGCTGCCTTGAGTTGCGCCAGTGCCCCATAGGCGGGTTCCTGCTCCTCCAGATTGGCCTGTGCTAGTGCGCCATAGGACTGGGGCTCCCTATACGGATCGAGCTCATCAATATGCTCCAATTGCTCAATGTTCACGGTCTTCAGGAGGTGCTCTTCAATGTCCACCGTCTTGAGGAGCTCCTGATGTGCCGAACCCGCCCTATAGGGCTGTGGATGATAGTCATCTGTGGTGCCTGGAGCTATGAAGGCCGCGTATTTATCCGACACCGTCCAGGGATCCGGTTCCACCAATTGCGTGAGCTTTTCTGGCTGTAGCTCCTCTCCCACATCGATATCCCGCACATAGCTCTGAAAATTGATTGCTTCCTCAAAGTCGTCTTCCTCGTCACTTGGGGGCGCCTCAACGGAGTCCCTGACAAAGGAACGCAACGGCGAGGATTCCCTTAGCTGTGCCACATTCTTCTCGTTAACTGTGGGCACACTCTCCACGGCGCTGCGCAGCGGCAGAAAGCTGTCGCCAAATGAGGGTCTGACGCTGAAACGACTCAGTGCGCCGCCATCATCCTCCAGGGGCATGCTCTCTACGGCAGAGCGAACGAATGCCGGCTTATAGCTGGGCGCCACATGCACTTCCGGGGCCTCGATGCGTATGTGGCCATTGGCGGACACGGCACAGAGCCACAGGAGCTGGAAGGAGGATGGGAGAATGGATTTTTGATTATGTGGTTTTAGGAATTATTTTAAGAGATGGACGCACCAGCAGCCTGCAAAGCGTAGTGGGCCTACGCATCTTCTTGGAATCTGCTGCCAGTCAGGCTGCAAAGAAAGGAAATGGATAATATAGTTGGAGTTGGAGTTCACTGCAGCTTAATCATTCTGAATTTCTGTATATCCCATACATATTCATGCTTTATTTTTGGTAGCTGCCTGCTGCACTCTTCCCTGTATGATTTATAGAGGCATGAAGCATGAAGCACACCCTACCCTACATTGTCACGTCTGCTTGAGGTGTCCTCTCATATCACGACGACTCATGGGCTGGGGCATGGCATACATACAAATGAAGTTAGGGGGTCTCCACGTACGTTCTTGGCTGACGAATTGGGAAGTAAATGCGCGCCGCCCCGGAACTTATTGAAATGCCTTTTGTTGTTAGTTTTGTGTAGCCTGTAAGTCAATTGATTATATTAATTGCCTATAGGCTGGGCACGTCCTAAATCTAGCAGAACCTTGAAGATTTTGCGCTTGCTTTTTGTTTGTTATCAAAATCTAAATAACTTTCCCACCGCTTGTCAAATGGTTATAAATTCGCATGAAAGTAAACATTTAAACTGGTTCTTTTGTGGCCGTGACATCTTTAATGCCGGCAAAATTGGTCATTGTTCTGTTTATTGTGCAAAACAATTAAACTAATTCGATTGAAAGTGCCGAAAGATTATAAATTTACTTGTGGTTTATGCGGTTTGGCTTTGTGAATATTATATTGTGAATATTAAACAGCGATGATTAAATTCAAATGTTTGTATTTTTTACCCCAGAGAACGGTAGTGGGAAGTTCCAAGTGTTAATCCAATAATTACTCAAAACATGATATATGTAACTATACATATGTATGTATATCACAATAAATTCACAATAATAACTGTTTCCTTCCAGTCTTTGGAAGTCAATACGAATGGAATGGAACGGCGGACAGTAGAGAGCGGGAGAGAGGCTAGGAGTAAAATCAACACGCGCGCGTCTGCAGCTCAAATGCCGGCGAAAAATTGCTGCCAAAAATTAAATCGGTCCCGATATTCAATGTAGTTTTTGTGTGAAAAGTGTTAATTATCCGCGCGGTGTGTGCAATATTAATAAACAATACGGAATTGCGGCTTAAGTTGAGTGTTTTTGTTCTTCAACAAATGGCTGCAAAAACATAACCTCAATTACTAGTAAAATAAACGTCCATACTTGCTGTCGCACATGTGCTGCCATCACGGGTATACCTATACACACCCTTCGCCAGTGCTTGCCAAAACTAAAAGCTTAAATCACTTGTTAAAAACATTTCAATTGCGTTTGTCCTTTTTGTGTGCGCAAAGCATCGGCGTACCTCCTCCGGCCTCTTCAGATCTGTCTCCAGAGTCTCCAGAGTCCTCCACATAATGTGTGGTTAAAATTGAACCAGGTGTCATCACTGAAGAAAAATGTGTGGTTAAAATTGAACCAGGTGTCATCACTGAAGAAAAATGTGTGGTTATAATTGAACCAGGTGTCATCACTGCGCAAAGAGCAGAAGATCCGTTATTTGGCTTAGAATCAGTGTTGCCAAATTAGCTATTTTACTCACTAGATCTATCGTGTTTCAATTGGCAACTGCGGGATAAATTGTAAAATAGAGGGTAGCGGGAATTATGGCTATTTTAAAGACAAATTGACATCATATTAGCTTATTAAAATCCTCTGGCATGCTTAGAATTTGCCATTGAAAGCGGAGAGCAAAGGAAGTGAAATAGTGACTGAAATATGTAGGAACGAGTGTAATATTAAGGAGACATAATTCTAAAAGAACATGTGATTGGAAGGAATGGATATTTAATTAACATGAAATGACATTATAATTTCCGCGGTGGATATCGTGTAAAAAAGAATGTAAGTGATTTTTATTTATTTATTATATTTAATCCCTTGCATAATATTGATTAGGGTACGTGCAAATCGGCTATGCCTTATATGCCTTATATTCACAATATTTTTCGTTTTTCAGGTTAATTACGTTCGAAATTGTCACCCTGCGGCCTTTTTCCACTAACAGGCATTAAATCCACATGGAATTCATAATCATCTATGGCCCAGTTCTGCCAAATTATCTATTTCTTTGCCTTCTGGCCATTGATTTATTATCTGTCGTCGGGTGCCAAGCCCCTTTCCCTTTTTCCCACTCCCCCACTCCATGCCGTGCCGAAAGGTGCTCTGTTTTTGCCAATTTCTTTTCTTCTTTCGACTGATATGCAAATGGCCTTAGAATTGGGTTAAGAGCTTAACGATCTTAACCGGTTTTCGTATTTTGATGTTATTCTTTTCGGTGGTCCCCAAAAAACGATACGTAACATCGCCGATTTTATGGTAATTATGTATAAAGAAATGTAACCAACGACAGCAGAAAAAATATGTGTAAAAAGCAAAAAGACGTTGGACAAGTTTTTGGGGATAACAAATCTTGGGGATAAAACTCTTTCTCTTGGGGAAGCGCCTGCAGCGGAACGGTTCAGGTTCTGGGAGTTCATTGAACGCCAAGACCAAGATCCAGAGATCTTTCTCTCTTCTCCCTGGAATGCTCCTTGGATGCTCCATGGGATTGCGCAATGTGTGTCCGGTTTTTTTTTTGGCTGGCAGCTTTCTTCGTGGGAGTGTAAGGGGAAAGGTGTTCTGTTCTGGTCTTAGAAAAATATATTTTTTGCCAGCGTGGAAGATTTTGAATTCTGTATGAGAAGTCGCCGAGACTTTGGGGATATATTCACACTGGAACGAGTAGTATATATACTCGTATATATACGATACATGCAGACAGACTCGTCTGGAGTTTTGTGGCACTATTAAAAATACATAAAGTTCTTTGGGTTCTCTGTTTCAACTAAAATTTCCCATGCACTTCACGTACAACCGCACGACTCACTCAATCCATCAACCACTGGACACATCACTGTACTGTATGCATTCGTACATTATAAAATTAATTTAAAACAGTAAAATCTGTTTTTTTTTTTTCGTTAAAACTGGCGACACAAATTCTAGAAAGAAAGTGTGCCCCATTCAGAACACTGCACTCCTCCCACTCACTCAGTTCTTTAAAATGGTAATCCAATGGGTAATCCGAAACTTCTTTATTCCTTCACTCGATTCGATTCGTTTCGTTTCGCGTTCAACGTTCACGCATGCGCGGACGCCATCAAACTGTTGGCGAACCGGCCTGTGGAGGCTCCTATTTATACTCGATTGAACGCAAAGAAAAAAGAAACGAACGTCGCCAAAAGAACGTTCTAAAGTTTTGTAAAAGAAAGATGAAAGGTGGAGCTTTGTCTAGCCCCAAAGCGTTGCCTGTATGCTCTTTGAAACGGGAATATTGCTAGCCATAAAGTGGGGGGGATTAAAAAGTGCTTAAAATAATAAAGAGCTGCCATAAAAATGTATCCCACAAATTGCTTTTTTATTGCAAAAATAATATATATTTTTTTTTTCGGAGCAATTAAGTGAAATTATAATCCGATTAGTTAGGGTATCCCAAAGAACTATCTTTACTCCTTATAATTTATGCAGACAGAATGCAAATCTCAGCATATTACCTGTTCTTGCGGCCTTTTTTTCTTGTTTATGTGAGAATATTGAAATAAAAACAAAAATCTGCGCGCAACACCGGCAAACGGAGGAGCTTCCGATGTCAACGCCCACGTAGCCGTAAAACGGGTCCATTTCTTTGGGATGGGATGGCATGAGATGCTGATGCGTAGAAGTCTAATTAATATGCTTTGAAATATTTGCATAATGGCAGTGTTCTGGCCGGCTTTGTTAATGGCAGGAGTTGCTGCAGTCGGGATGATTAATGGATGCTGAAGTGCTAAAAAGAGGCGGTTAATTGGGGAGTATTGAAGATAGGAGGTTCCTTAATTTGTTTTGATTTCAGGGGGCATTTCCTTGTAACTGTATAAGGAGTGTTTATATTTTTTAAATTAAATGAAAGATTACAGCTTAAAGATTTTATGAAGATTTTTATATAGAGTATTTTACTAAAATGAAAAAATCAACTTTTGATTTATAGAGTCTTATTATTGAAAATTGAAAGTTCCCTACTGTGGATATATATTTTAAAATTTTGAATCTTCCAAATTTCCAGGAATTGTTTATTATTTTGCATTTTGCAAGGCATTGCTACTATTTCATTATAATCTATTGATAATCAAGAAATGGTTGAACTACATATTTAAAGCCGTAGCCAATTTTATATTATTAGAAAAATAAAAAACTTCCCAACATGCGACATTTAAATAACCGCTAAACTTTGAGGAGCTCGCGCTCTCTTAAAATCCCACATAAAATCTCCTAACGCCTACCACCGCACCATCTATCGATATTCATCGATACAACACAATAGCTATCGCATGGTGCGTGCGCATGAACGAAGCAACCTGTGAACCTTTTGCTGGTAAACAAAATAGTTGGAAAATTGCTGAGAAAAGTGTGGAAAAGCAACACGAACGCATTCGCTTTTATTGTTGCTATTAGCCGCACGAAAACAATTTGCATTGTAGCCAGGACAACAACAACGGACAGCTGCAGTGCCGGAAACAACGACAACAACAACAACAGGAGATAGATAGGAGCTGCAGCTGCTGTGGAGGTTATTTATAGCAACCAAACAGCCTGCTGCCTGCCACCCCCCGACACTTAAGGAGGAGTGGGTGTGGGTGCCCCGTGTGCCTCTCTGCCTCTGTAATTGGCCGCAAAGTCCAAGGATACGTGTGATATTATATCCTTCTCCAGTCAAAGTCAAGGTAAGTGTAAGGTAGGAAGAGGGTGACGTGACGCGGTCGGTCGTCTCCTTTTTAGGCCTCCTTTTGGCTTGCGTGAGTTATGAAATTACCGCAAAACGAGTGCTGCCTTGCTGCCTGCCTGTCGCCCCATTAAAAACTATATGAAAACTTTCTACTTCATCAGTTATTCGAGAATCACTTGCGGAAATGGAGTCGTCGGCAGCTGTGGCAAATATCGTGAATCCCCCCACGGCAGTGGGCACCGCTGCTACGACAGCGGCCGCCACCAAGCGGAACAATCAGCAGGGACGAAAGAAATCGGGCCCCAAATTCGAGCTATCCGACGCACAAAAGTCGGACATTAAGGAGGCCTTCGATTTGTTCGACAACGAATGCACCGGCTACATCGAAGTCAAAGAACTGAAGGTGGCCATCAGGGCCCTGGGTTTCGAGCCAAAAAAAGAGGAAATCAAACGAATGATTGCGGAAATCGATAAGGATGGGAGTGGCCGGATTGCATTCAATGATTTCTTGCATCTAATGACCATGAAAATGGCCGAAAAGGATACAAAAGAGGAGATACTGAAGGCCTTTCGGCTGTTCGATGACGATGAGACAGGGAAAATATCGTTTAAGAATCTGAAACGTGTGGCCCGCGAGCTGGGGGAGACCCTCACCGACGAAGAGCTGCGCGAGATGATCGATGAGGCGGATCTGGACAACGATGGAGAGGTCAATCAGGAAGAGTTTCTGCGGATTATGAAAAAGACCAGCCTGTATTAGAGAGGACAGTCCTTTCGTTTTACTTTTAAGATTTGCATTCCGTTTAGTAAGTTTTAAGTTTCTGTGGCTAAGCTTTTGATGTGTTCAATATCCAATCCATTCATTGCCTCGTGTCTGTCTCTGTTTCTCGCTCTCCTCTGGAGGTTGCTTTAAATGTAAGTTCAAGCTGTGTTCCATTATAGTGTCCCACTGACAATTTACAACCACACAAACATTCAATTAGCAGGCTAAGATAAAAACTATGAACAAACCTCCGCGCACTGGCTGTATTTTTGCACAACAAAACACAAATGCAAAATAATCTCAAGAATGTTGGAATAAAATCAAAAACCCAAAAACCATAGTAACTATTTGTTGTTTACAGATGCAATATGCAATAAATGTTGTTGAATTACATGTTACATCGAGATGCTGTTGCCTTTTGGTGTTTCAATTTGGACAAAAACAAAAACTAGGGAAAAAGGGGCTTTGTAAGTTAATTGTAATTGTTCTTCTTTAAACTCTATGAAACACATGCAAAATTGAGTCTAAAAATATTTAAAACCGAGCTTAAGAGCTCTGACTGATCAAAGAATCCATCTACGATTCATTTCCAATTGGAGTCTAAGAGAAAGTCTTTAAAAAACAGATAAAACAGATGATAAAATATATTTTAATGAGTGTTGAAGGCCCATGATCCTATAAATTTCTTACTTAATTAGCATTGATGTGAGCATTCATTAGTTAGACTGTCTTTATATTGTTTTTATAGCCAAATTCAAACCAAATGCTTTCAGCTACGAAAGCATTTATGCATAAAGAGGCGTATTGCTGATCGAATCGATACCAGGACACCCAACACCAAGGCTCGTTCCCTCTGCTCGACTCAAATTGTTGTTTGTTGTTCTGATTGGTTGAACCTGTTTCCAAAATACAAAAAGGGTTTTTCCATTTATTTTATTTTTTTTATAATTTTCGTTGCCTTTTCTTTTATTGTGGGGAAAACATTTAATACTTTTTGCCAAACTTAAGAACTAAACAAAACTCGCTCTCTCGCTCTCTTCCTCTCTCTCTCTTTTGCATACAAAATAAACTTAAATTCGTTGCCATAATTTTATTTCCTCTAAGGTCTAGACTCTAGAGTCTAGACAAAGGGCGCATTGAAGTAGATTTTACGTTTGCTGGGCAATGGTTTCGTACTGAGGCCCGAACCCTCGATGAACTTTTCAAAGCTGGCCAAATTCTTTTTCATTTGCGTGGCCTTGGCGGGCTCCATTTGCGGCAAAGGGTCCTCCTCCATTTCGGGCTGCATTAGGAGATCCTTTTCTTGATGATGGAACTCCTGCTCCTGCTCCTCCTCCTGCTGGTACTCTTCATCCAGATTGTACTCATCCGCATCGGCATTGATCAGGCATTCGTTATCCTCGCTAATCTCCGCCAGCATGCCCTCGGCCTGGGGACTCTTTGAACTCGAAGTCACCTCCTGACTCCGATCGTACTCCGCATCAAGATTGTACCAATCGAATTCCGCCTGCAGGGGCAGATCGCTGGGCGCGTCAGCCAGTTGGAGCATCGATTTGGATACGGGCGTGCTGTTGTGAAGGCTCTTGGGTGCCGTGGGAGTCGTTGGTGAGCTCGGGAGACTCATCCGCTTGTTGATCTCCGCCAGAATGTTGGGCACATGCTTCCGTTTGTATTGCGACGGCAGTGGAGACGGTTGCAGGGGCAGCTGCAGCTGCAGCTCCTGCCTCTTGGGGGTCATCATCAGATACTCGGAGGCGGATTGCTTGGGCGCTATAATGGCCGCCACATTGGGTAGCTTTGGTATATCGGCGAAAATCTCTTCGATTTCCTCAGTCTTGTGCGATTGATTGTCATCGGAGTCCACCTCGGGCTCCATCGGGGTTGGCTCCACCGCCGGTGGGGTTGTGGCGCATTCCGGGGCCTTGTGTATATCCGCCACAATCTGCACACGCACACTGGCCACCATGCCCACCTCCGAAATGGAGCAGTAGTCCGGCTCCGAGACTGTGGCACAATCGTCTTCGAGCAGCGCCGCCTCATCCTCGAGCGTTTCCTCCAGCTGGTGCAGGGATTTCTTGAATTTCAACAGATTGGCAGGCTTGGGTGGCAGGGCAGGTGGCAGTTTCTGCTGTGGCAGCTGCTTCGAGGCATTGCCGGTGGCCGCAGACTCGCCTGCTCCTCCGGTGCAGGCAGCCGCAGCCGCCATATCGACATACAAATTGGAGGCACGCTCCGAACCAATCGGCTCGTATTCATTGCTGTAGATGCTCTCGTAGGCAGAGGTCATGGGATGATAGTGTGAGATCATTGGGGCAGCCATCGGATGCGACCCCGGCTCCTCGTGCTCCTCGTGCTCCTCATGGTCGTCGTGGCGTGGCACATGCACCATGCTGTTCTTGGTGGAAAAGTGCACCCGCTTGCGGCCATTGGAGACGCTTCTGCCGCTGAGGGAGCTTCTGCGTGGCAGATTCGAGGCAGCTCCAGCCATCGCGGACTTGGGCGTGGGCTCCCGCAGTGTCTCCTCCATGGACTGCTGCAGAAGGATCTGATTGACGCACTCAAGCACGGGATTGACGGCACCATGGCCATACGGTTTGACAGTCGACACCCTGGCTGTGGAGGCTGTGGTCTCCTCTTGGTCCGAGGCACTGGCATACCAATCATCGGTGGTCGTTTCATATATCTGCTTGGGAGAGGCCTCCGAGAAGTCGGCACACCGTCGCTGTACGATTTTCAGGGCTCCGCGTGACATCATTTGCTGCTCCTGCTCGGGATCAAGTTCATCAAAGTCCTCGTCATCCTGGGTGGGCGAGAAGATGCCATCATCTTCCTCCATTAATTGTGGAGTTGTTGTCTTGCTGCTGCGACTGTTGCTGCTGCGACTCGAAGAGCTGTTCCGCCTCCGTTGCTGCTGCTGCTGCTGCTGCTCCAATTCCAGACTGCTCTGCTCGGAGTATTCCCCATCCTCCATGGAGGCGGGTTTCACGCCGTGCATGCGCTCCATGGCCCGCGAATAGTTGTGCAGCTGTTCGTAGCTCGTCTGGGAGTCCTCGCGCGAGATGCTGCTGGTATTCTCCTCTGATTGCTGCTCCAAGGCGGCATCATCGATGTGCATGGCCCGAGAGCGCATATAGTCCCGGAAAGTGCCCGCCGTGCGCTTGCTGGTGTACCGGACGCTGCGTCTGGCGCCGTAGAACGACGATGAGACGGTGTCATCGCTGGAAGAGCCAGGCTCTGCTACAAAATGAGAGGAAAATCAGCGATTAAGAGAGGAATTTTCGAGCAGGAAATTGCTGTCGGAGACTCACCCTTTCCGCCCACGCCTTGCAACTCTTTGCTGCACGTCTGTGTGCCGCTTGCTGTCACTTCAATGTCATAGAATTGCTTGCGGCAATTCTGGCATTGCAAAGCCTCCAGCACCAGACATTCGTCCGAGTCCTGATCTGCTATGCCCTCATCCGGCTGCTGATCCTCCAAACGCTTCCTCAGTGCCCGATTCTGTCGCATCAGACGACAGATCTCTGTGTCCCTGTCCACCAGCCGCTGATTGACGCTCTTCATGTCGTTCTTTAGCTTCGATTCGAAACAGATCAAGGACTTTACAACGCAGGCCAGCTCCTCAGTGCGACGTCGCTTCTCCTTGGCCAGATCCCGATGCAGTTGCTTGTTCTGCTGATCATAGTTGGAGATCATCTGCAGCAGACGTCTCCGCTGGAGTCTCTCCGGAGAGGACGCCACCGCTGTGGCAGCAGGAACCGCGCCCGAGGAACTGGAACCCGAAGAGGAGCGTTGCACCTCGCTGCCACTGCCACTGCTGCGCGCATTCCGGGAAGAGGTCTGCGAGTTGTCCGAGTTCTGTGGATTGGATACAAATAAAAAGGGTTTTAGTTGGAGTATGGCTAATAGGTTTCTCCTTTGGCTACCTTCGAGTGTCCTAACACATGAAAATGTTTCCATTTTCCCACCATTTTCCCAGCAATGAACTCTGCCTGGAGCCCTCCCAATGACAAGTGTCGTGCAGGTCTAACGCTGATTGATAGCCAGGGAGCTATATTTATTTTATCTCTGGACTCGAATTGTAATGCAAATGACGCACAGTTTGTGGGCTCTGGGAATGGGATTAACATGTTTACCCATCAGGGAGCCCACCACCTGCAATGGGCATGCTACTTTAGGGTAATACTCTTGGCGAAGAGGGATTTTTGGTAGCTCAAACTATGGGTTTAAATTTGTTATACCATGGGGATTGAGTCTGTCTACATTTTCGGGAAAAATTTCAACGAAAAGACATTAGGAAACAGGAATTCAAAGCAGCCTTACACTTATGGGACATTTCTACAGCGAGTCAACGAAATTTGCATCATTCAGTGAATGTTTTCGAGTGGAACAGGGATTGAAAATATGTTTTAAAATACTCGTAAACTTGAAGGCAACACTACATAGAGTTAGGACTTTATATATTATTTAAAAGTATGTTCAGTGATGGAAAGCCTCTACTTCTGGTATTTCAAACCCTCCTAAGTTTGCCGAGTATATGCCACTACCTATTTTGAAGAGTACCTGCTGTTCGTTTGCATCCCATACACTTTCACTGCCTTTCTCCTGCTATCTTATCATCTGCTTAGGGGATGATTGTAGCCAAAAATATATCACACAAATATACATGGCGCTATATATATATTTTCATATATTATTTCAACGCCTTTTCGGTTGGTGGGGGGCTATAATATATGGCATTGTTTTTGACTCTTTGTTGTACTCCACTGACCCCCCGAAAGCAATGTCCAATGAAGGTCTATATCTGCATGATATGTCAGCCCAAACAGATATGAGTATCACACGTCTGTACGTGCATCTGCAGATGCAGATGGGAGATACATACGTGTCCGGGCTATGCGAAACATGCAACAGATAGACAGACAGACAGACAGACAGAACTACGGGCTAAAAGGTGATGCAATATCTCTGTTTTGAATGTCGGTCAAGTAATTACGGCCAAGGCGATCATTAAAAGTGGGCCACTTTCCCGCTCATTAGAAAGCAATCAAGGGCAAAAAGTCTTCGCGGTGTTTGCGGTGACACATTTCCACGGCTATTTGTTTAGAGATTCACTTTATCAGGGTACAGAAAAACGTTGTACAGAGTGTCTCTGGGTTATGGGAAAGTGTCGTAATGTTTGCTTGAGTTACCTACGGAGATAGGCAGCTAAATCTCTGTGGAAGATTAACAAAGGCGGAGAAGTATCTAGGGGATGCCCTGTAACTGTAGCCTTCCCTGACTATTTTTCTGCCCAAAGTTCTTGCACTTCTTTCGACTCACCTGCTCGACATTTTGCTTCTGCAAACGTGAACCAAATCCCAATTTCTTGTACGCTGGTGTATGGCCAGCTGCTTGGGTGTTGAACGTTGGCTCCAAAGTGGCTTCCGGCAGCTTCTGGTAGTGCTGCAGCAGGATGGTGGAGGAGGATGTACCCTTGGAGCGCATATTTACTTCGTTGCTGCCACACGACTGTGACTGTGACTGTGATTGTGGTTGGGGCTGTGCCTGTTGCTGTGTGGCTGTGGACTTGACCTGCACGGCCTCATAGAACTCGGCGTCGCCGTGGCTCCGATAGCTACCCTGGAGGCAACTGAAGCCGCCCCAATCCGAAGATGTCTGTAGATTGGAGTACAGGGGAGTGCTGCTGGGGTTATCGGCTGGGGATGCTGCTGCCGACTTTCCACCACTCTGGTGGCACTTGAGATTGTCGTAGCCGTTGAGCAATTCGCTTTTGATGAACTTTTCGATGAACTGGCTTGGCGATTTGCCGCTCAAGTGGGAAAAGAACTTGCCGCCCGTGTCGCTGAGGCTGCTGGTGGATCTGCGATGCTGCGCGGCAGCTGTGGCACCCTTCTTGTGGGGCAGGCTGTTGCTCTTTGAGGGTTCTGCTGTGGCTTGATGATCTGCTGCGGTTGGTGCGGGTTGTAGTCCATAGATTTGGGAGCTGCTCAACAAACCGAACATATTGATTGGTTGGCAAGGATCTGCTGGCTGTAGGGTGGTTCCTGTTGGTTCCTGCTACTGGGCGTCGGGCAATGACTGCATCATGGTCATGTCTATTTGTTTGTTTGTTTTTTAGAGAGCGCTGGAAAGTAGAGTTATAAAATACTATTTAATATTTGGAGAAAGATGGAAATTATAGCAAAAATATTATTTAACGAGACAAAATGCAGATGGCATGCAATTATTTCTCGTAATTATACTCGTAATCCAAGCAATTTCTGTTGCTCAAACTAGTTACACATTCAATCTGTGAGATGCAAACGTAACCCGTAGATACATTCATTCGTCTGCATATTCGTAATCATTTCAACAATTAAACCGCATTGCATACACAGTCAGCAGTCAGTCGTACGATATCATGTCTCGAATGATTAGACGATCAAAGATTTAGCAATCCATTAAGTTGTCACAGACATTTTTCACTTACATTTGTACATACATATGTATGTATTTCTTTTGTAATTTTCATTGAAGCAATCTTTGGCATTTGCTTATGATGGGAATTACGACATAAAAAGAGGATTAAGTGAACATATAACAATGGAAAAGGTGGCAATAAATGATAGAGATTTGTTTACATATATTAATGGATTAGAAAATCAAAACATCAAAAGATCCAAACATATATTAATGAAATTATAATTTATTTTGTATTAGTATATACATTTTTGTTTTATTAATTAGTATTATTCTTAGTTCTTATTTTTTTTTATTCATTTTTTATTATTATAGACTATTATAATAATTCTTTGAATAGAAAAGAGGAATTAATTGCTCCCTGCTGCCCTATCCTATCTAAAGCCAATAAATATCTCAAATATTTTACCAAAATATCATAAATAAATATATTATATTTTATAGTAGCTTCCTCCCAATCAATATTCCCCCATTAAGTGTCGTGTAACCTTCCATTTGGACATTTGGGAAGAGACCCCAAAAGCGATTATAAATACGAACAGAAACCGAAAACACACATTTTCCGCTGACAGATTGAGCCATCAATATGACTTATGTATTTCCATTGCTGTGACGTATGTTTTGGAGCGACGGTTCCCCACATCATTGAATTTTTGATTTGCTTTTTTTTATGGTCCCTAATTAAATTTACGAGCCAACGAGCCAACGATCCAGCTATCGATTTTTAGGCTGCATTTTCGGTTTTTCTCTTATCTTCATGCGAGCGGAGTGGAATGGAGTGTGGTGTGTCCCCCCTTTTGTTGTCGCCTTTTTTTCAACATTAATTTACAACAATAGCTCATTTATTTATTAATTTTCAAACAAGCTGAAAATTGGTTGCAGACCATGGGGCAAACGACCTTGAATTGAATGTGGGTGGGGGTGGGGTGGTGTAGGGGGTCTACTGTTGAAGGTTCTTTCTTTATGTATTTATTTCTTTCGTTGCAACAGACACTTCCGGAACACACACACAATTATGACAGTTGGCGAAAGAGTGTTACATATCCAAGGGATTATTTCATATTATATATTATATGATTTCACCTACAACTTAAGTAAGATGGGAGGTTCTCTTGGAGGCAGCAGAGCAGACCTCTCGGTCGACCTCGTTACGCTACAGAAAAACAGAAACTTTTTTGCTAGCTTTATGAGCTGTAAAGTGGTTAAAAAAATGCTTAAAAATGGTAAAACAAAACAAAAAACATGGTTAAAAATGGCAATTAAAAAGGAAAACTAACGCAAACAGAGAAAAAAAAATGAATGCAGCAGCAAAATGAAGTCGAAGTCGAAGTCTACTGGTGCTCAGTCATTTGGTTGTAGCTTGGCAGCTTTAGCTTTTCCTTCCATTTTCATTTGATTTTCATTTGTTTCTTCTTCTGTTTTCCTCGGTGTTTGCTGCGCGTGCTTGAAACTAATTAAATCATAAAGAGCCTCCCCCCATCCATGGATGATGATGATGATGATAGGCTGCAGTGCAATCCACAGAAAGAAAATTCCAATTCAAACACAAAACCAAAACTAAAAGCACATAAAACACACATAAAGCATTTCCAAATTAAGTTAAAAGTTAAAGCCATAATCATACCACACGTAGAGAAAAAACCATAAAAACAGAAACAGCAGCAACAGCTGTGCTCTTTCCTCGTCCACTCACTCTCTCTCTCTCTTTCGATGGGAAAGTTGCACAATGGAAATTCATAGATACTTTTGTCGTAGAGATTTATGAATATCATTATACTACACTCAATTAAGGATTGGATCAGATGTCTAGAAGGATGTTTGTGGTTTTCAAAATAGTTGTTTTTTGACAAAGATAATGGTAGGGAAATTTTATGTATTTATTTATCTTTTTATTTATTATTATTTTAGTAATTTAATATTTTTTTACAGGTAAATTATGTATGAGTCTTCTTGAGAGATTTTTTTGACAGCCAAAACATAAAAAAATTTAAGAATATTTAAGAAAGTTGTTTGGAAAATGATATATAATTTTTCTCTATAGAAATTTATGAATTTTAATTTAAGAAAATGATAAAAACGTTCTTTATCAAGATTTTGAGATTTAAGATACTACATTTAATGAGAATGAGAGAATGAATGAGAAAATAATATAGGGGTCTCGTATGTACGTTATAGAATTTATGATAGTCATATGATATAGAACTCTATTCCCAGCGGTTGACAAATGATTTTATAGCCGAAACATATAAAAATCAAAAAGAGTCTTTAATAAATATGTTTGGAAATAATATAGGGCTGAGGCATTTTATGATAGACAGATGATAAAAGACTCTCCTGCAAGTAATTTATAGGCTTGTAAAAGTCCAAACATATTAAAACCACAAAACTCTGCATAAATTATTTATTGAAAGACAAGTTTTATCCTTTGTTTTTATTATGTTTGAAATTTCCCATAAATTGTTGGTTTTTATGGTTACCCATAGTGATGTAGAAGCCTTGAGAGCTCCTTAAGTCTCATAGTTCAATCCAAGACATGTCTTGTTTCATCAAAATCCGTTAAAAAAATCTTTTTTTTTATTCCTTGTTTCGGAAATTGAATATTTCATTGAAAAATCTAAATATTAAACCTTTTAAAAGTGCCTTTAGACTCGCAGCTCAACTTACTTAATTTATAATAAGCCCCAATACGTTATACTAAATCAGAAATTGCTATCAAAGACATATGTTTTGTTTGTTCGTTCGGCCTATCCTAATTATCCATCAATTGATTGGCAAATCCATAAACCAATTATCTTAAACGAGAAATCAGAGCCAGCGACAGAGTCAGAGACGAGATCGGCGACTGCTTTTGTGTGGACATGTGTCCATTTGTTAGCCCCTTTTATGCTGTTTGTTGGCCATCTAATCATTTGTCTAACTAGATTTTACCATATTCGCTTTATAAATATTTCATATCGACTCGGCAGTATCGATCGTTCCTCTCCGCTTCAAGATTTATTATAAATTCGAATCTCCCCAGCCCAGCCCCAGCCACTGGAATCGAACGATCGCTTTGCTCTGCGCTCTGGCTCCGATGACAGAGTCTGAAACAGTCTAAGCCCCGGCCTAGAGACTAAACAAATTTGTCTTAATTGGCCAAGACGAATTGCTGTTGCTGCCTTTTTAGGCTCGAAACGGGGCTCGGACCAGGTCCGCCTTACCCGGCCAGTGGGCCCACCCCGAGAGTCGCCTCTAGCTATGGAAAATGAGAGATGTTGAAAAAAAATCGTCTTGCTTTTGAAAATATTAAAATCTCGTTAATGCCGCAGATCTCTTGGATTAACTAAAATAAATAGAGGGAAAGGTAGCGCCCACTAGGGAACGCCTCTCTCTCCCTCTGCCACCCATCCCATCCATAAGCCTAAACATTTGTCGCAGATTTAATTTCCAAGAGAGGAATGGGAATGCGAACAGGTACCGGTATTACCTTCTTCTGCCTTTTGTTCCCTTGATCCTCTGCTGCTGCCGCTGCTGCTGTCATCTCCTGCTGTTTTTGCGGATAAAAAGTGTCTCTAAAGGTTCCTCTCAAACATAGCCCAAGGCTAGGGATCCTTGGGAGAGTGAACAAATGTGGCTAATCTATCAAACGGGACTGTCTTTTTATTTGGCTAGGGTATTCCGGGAATGGTTTCCAAAAGAAAAACTAAGGGAAAATCTAAAGAAGATCTTAGATAAATAGGTATAGCTATTACGGGAGTAGGTCTGTCTTTTTTAAGCAAGTTTCTGAGATCTGAAATAAAGTAATTTTAAGTGAAAGAATATTTCCTCAATTTGCAATGAATTTTTAAGCCAACAAGAGCTCATCCAGGTAGATTCATCATAGAAAACAGATCATGGAACTACAAATATCTAAAAGAATGGGAGTAGATGTGTCTTTCTACGAACTTCAACATTTGATGACAGTAAATCTTAATTTATGCTTAATTTTGTTGATTTTAAATGAAGAAAGCCTCCAAAAACATTTCCCAAGTGTACATTTCAATCTGTTAGAGCCTGCCAGACCTCCTCCTCTGATTCATCAAAAAACATAAACTAAAACATTTAATGGATGGGCCCTGGGACCTGCAGCAATTCCGTATTCTAATCCCAACGACTGTGAGTTCTTTTTGGGCCACCCTACGCGACCTGTAGGATGCGGGTGCCTCCAGCTGTGCCTTGGATACAAACAGAAACGAAAGAAAAAGTGAAAGGAGGAGGCTAATCTGTGGAACAGGGTCTCGTCTCGTCTCGGCTCGGCTCTCTGGTGTGACACTTTGTCGCCTTTTAGGGACGTGCCAATGCCTCAACAGCTTGGACTTAAGACATGCCACACGGGGGGCAGAACCTGCAGAACTGTTACAATTTTCTAGCCAAAATCGCTCACCTTGGGTGGTGTCTGTGCCCGAATAGATATGGATATGGATTCCTGACAGGTTCAAAGTGTGTGGAAATTAATCAAAAAGTAAAGAAAAGCCGAGAGAAAAGGAAAGCTATAGGGAGGAGGGATCATAGAACAAAGGAACACCGCACCGAAGCGGGGCATTGCATAAATACGAGTATGGCCTGGAAGGAAAAGGACATTGCGCTGATAACAGTCGAAGGAAGGGAACATCTACCTGACTATGCGGTGACCTTTAGTGTCTTCTACTCTGCTGAGTGGAACTGCAGGAATCCCTCTTTTAAAGCAGTTCTACCTGTACAATTTCCGATAAAGAATCTCCGGTTGCATCTTCAAGCGGCCTCGACACTTGTGTGTGTGTGTGTTTGGACATTAATTAGTGGCCCATTGAGGTGGCATTTGACATATACTCGTACTCGTTCTCGTTCTCCTACCTTTCCCTCAATGAAATCCTAGTGCAAGAATGTAAACGACTTCTCAGACCAAACGATCATCGAATGTAAACGATCTCAAACAACAATCTTAATGAGGCAACCAGAACTATCAAACGAGAAGAACCCTCCCTCCTGCTCGAACAAAAGAGAACCAAAAACCTATGCGGGAGTTGGAGATAGTTGAACGAAGAAAGAAAGAAAGATCTATCCATAGAAAATGATGCAATGAACGAACGGTAAATGTTATGGAAATGGGTCAAAACTCTGTAGATGGTCAATTAAATTGTCAGCTTTTCAAGAATTCCATCGATCTCTTTTGCGGGTGAGCTGAGCGGAAGGGGGGCGTTGACAAATGATCTCCCGCAACATTTGACCTGATTTTTGGAGACCAGAGCGGGAGACCAGAACAGAGAATGACTGTCCAGTGACAGGGCTCCTCTAAAAGAAAAGCCCCCCCCCCCCTAAAAGGATAAACTTTGAAAAGCCGAAGTGTAGATACCCTTGAATTTATATTTATTTTTTGGAATGAATGCTAATCAGACCTTAATTTGTCTTACTAATTCCTGAGTATTCCTTTTAATTAGAGCTCCATATCGTTAAATTGTATTTCTATGATAAGATGAATATAATGAAGAATTTCCTCTTCCTTTAAACATCAATGCAGAAACAATGGGAAATATTCTTTGAATTAAGATTTTTGTATTGATAAATATATTTCTAATTTGAATTTTAGCAACTTTTATTCTCCGTATTCCATAATACCCTCCTTATGCTAGGGTATATGAAAAAACAATGAAAACCTAAACACTTGGAAAAATGACTTATTTTATTTTCTAGAGTTTTTCCACCTCCATTTCCCTTCCATCAACTTGCATAACGGTTTATGACTGCTGACCGCTGACTGATTTTTAACAGAAAATCAGTTGAAAGAAAAGAAAAACGTCATAAAACTCTGGAGTGTAGTGGAGTGGAGTTTTGTGCCCCTAATAAAAGAAGGAAGTTATGTTGCATGCAACTCAATAGATATGAGATATGAAGTACGCTACACGGATCGGTGACACGTGCAGAGGGCGCGCACACACGCAGAGAGCGAACGAGAGAGAGAGAGGTGGCAGGGGCATACAACTATTGACAATACCTTTTGGCAAACCCTCTGGTAAAGTGTGAAATGTGATTGTTAAACTACCTGTCACTCTGTAGTATGTAGTAGACTCCCTCCCAGGTAGTAGACTCTTTCGGGTCCGCGGGGTCTCTCCCTCCAAACACCCAAACACCCAAACACTCGAATACTATTCAAATTACTTTCATTCAATCTGTGAATGTTTTGCGCTCGGTTTCCTCTTTCTTTTTGCTGTTTGACTGTTTGGCTGTTCGCTTTCGTGATTGATTGGCGAAAGAGTCGTCACAGAGTCGCAGAGTTTCAGGTTTGACGCGTGTTTGACAAATGTTTTCGGTGGATAGTTTTCGAGTATTGTATGGTATATTAGTGCCATAAGCTGTCGTGTTACTTTGTTCACTTCCGCGTGTTTGGTGGGCTTAAACTTTGACTTCCACTGCACCAGGGAATGGTTGGAACTAAACGATATTATATCTATGAAAGTTGAGTCAAGAACAGTAGTGAGAAATGAATGATGATTCAAACGTTTCCAATTTTTGGGTTTAGTTTATTCATGGCGATTCTCTTTTCCAGAGTTCGCTTGTGCGTCTGGAGTCGAATCGATGTCAGCAGCATCAATGCAGTAAGGACTTGCGTAGAGCTTAATTATTGTTCCTATTTAGATCTTAAGATCTGTTAAAAAACAAACTTTGTAGCTATCATCTCTCTCTCGTTTTTACTACATATATGTATCTACCCGGAACTGTTGTGTCTGTCCGCTAAGTAGAGATTTTACTGCCATTTCCGTTGGTTATGTAAACGTTCTTTAACTGCGAAAAATCAGTTACCTAAGTCCCTCGCTTTTTGCCATTAAAGTTTGCTCTTTTTTTTAGGAGGTCAGCCAACTGTAAGTAAGCTTTGATTCTAGCAGCACACATTCTACCTTCCACATTCCATATATCTACTACTATATATATACATATATACAACATCATGGTGAATCGGTTTATGCCCTCTTTTTGCTTTGGTCTCTGCAAGAGCTCTCCTCTCTAATTGGATTAGAAGAAAGGGCGTACCGAACCGAACCGACAGAAAACCCCCAGAACAAAATGCGCGTAATGCCCGTTGCTCTGTTGTGGCTCTGTGGATCTCTTGCGCCATTCATTCAACCATTCTACCATCGTTGCTGTTCTTTTGCTTTAATTTAATTAAAAGGTCAATAAACCTTTGAATGAAACCCTTTTTTTTGCTGGTCAAGTCGATGAAGAGCTTCGCTCTCAAGCAGCGCTGAAGAGCTTTTTTTGTTAATCATTTTACAATTAGTTGGGGGATTGAAACGCAGAATGTTGTAGATCAAGTTTTTCGCATACTACTGTGAGGTATTCCATCCCCCCAATCATGTGGATATTTTTGATTATAGACGTCTTTCAAGGGGGTTTTTTTTATGTTTTTAAATACTCTTTCGAAAGGGTGGTAGAACTTTATGATGATTTTTAGTTAGAATAAATTTGCCTTTTTCTTTGTTTATATATCTCAAGTGGAACCTATATCAAATTCTTTCAGAAGTTTATCCTTTCATTTATGGGAAATTTGCTGAGCTAATGACGCGTTCGGAGCTAAGAATTAATTTCTTTCAAAAGAACTTTTACGTTCAATCCAAATGAAAAGTGTATCCAAATCTTCGTTGCCTTCGCTATAGTCGCGCTTTCTTGTTTCTATTTTTTGTTTCTCTAAATTTAATTTGCATGTTTAAAAATCATTAATTTGCTTGCTATTAAAAACAATTTGCTAGCAGGCGAAATGTTTGTGTTACGCTGCTGCCGCCACTGCTGTTGCTGCTGCTGGAACGTTGTTGATTTCGGTTTGGTTTTAGCAACAAATTAGCCAAAAAACGTAGCTAAAACTTGGCTCAAAATTATTTGCATTTTTTTCAGCTGTTTTCTTATTTTCTTTCCTTTCCTTTGGTTAGGTTTTTGCTTTTTTGGGGCTTTTAATGCAACTAACGGTTCGTAAAATTGGTGAAATCTTTCTCAAAGTTTTATTTTTTTTTAGTTTTACTTCGATGCACATTTTACTTTCGTTTTTTATTTCTGTTAGTTGTAAATTTTCTAGCTGGCTGTCAAAGTAAATTAAAGATTTCTCTCTCTCTCTTTTGGGCTCTTAGAAACTTCCTCTTAACTATAGGTTAACTGACAGTTAGCCAGTTACAGCCGCAATTACAAGAGGTTTAAAGTTTATTGAACTTTCAATCGCCATTAAAAAAGCCAAAACAAAAACATGATAAGACCCTTACATCCGAAGTTAGTAGAAAGATTTGGCTTTAGTCAGAACGATTAGCAAACCGGTTAAACTACCATCGAAAATTGTACGCTAACTGGATTGGTGCGGAGAGAGGGCTACGAAATATATCTCGTGAATTGTATCTCATGCTTATTATTTACATGGCACATGCCACTGTTTGCAGTTCTGTTAAGGCAAAACAGTAGTGTCTTTGGTAAAATTGTAAGAGAAATGTTCTGAAAGCTCAATAATGAGGTTCTATTAAGGGATTTATTTAGAATTAAAAATTTAAATGCATGTTCACATTTATAATTAAATATGAATCTTTTACATTGATAGTTTTTGGCAGATTGTTGCAATGTTTGAGTTCTGTAAATGCTCTAAAATATCATCAAAGGTATTATTTTTTTATATATTTTTTTTATTTAATTAAAAGTTAATATAACTGATGGCATTGTCAGTACCATAATTGTACAAAAATTGACTATTTTCGATTAAAAAATTGCCTGCGATCACATTCTTCGATTCTAGGCTTTCCACACGATTGCATTTTATTGTGAAATGAATTTCTGTCTGCTGTTTTGTCTGGTAAAATGAAATGCCTCTGTAGGCTCTTAGTCACGATGACGGCTGTATATATGTATTTGTATTTTATATGTATATGCATAAATAGCGTATTTAGTGAATGGTGTCATATACCCCATTAGGGTTTTTTTTTTCTTTCAGGCATTTTTGCGGCTTCTTATTTTATGCATATTTTATGGTGAAATATGGAAAGGTATATTTGGCATTTCAATTGCACAAAAGACAACACTTTTGAATGGAGGAAATGTTTTAGCAATTACTACTGCTATTCGTGGTCTAATCCCACTCTCTTAGCCCACGACTTACCTTCAAAACACGAGCTTCTTTGCAGCTTTCGTTCTTTCACAAATTGCCGTCACTGAGATCTGTAATTAAAAATGAAATATCGTGGACATTAGTCGGTTGTAGATCAGATAGATAAAGGAGAGACGTACGGGGTAAATCTTATAGATAGGGAGAGATGGGGAGACGATGCCTGGCATCCTTTAATGTGTGTGGAGAGTGCGGATCTATTCGCTGTAGAGAGAACTGTGGGCCGTAACCAGTCTTCTAACTGAACCAATTTTAACTGTAAATGCAGTTAATTACACTCGCTTTAAAGCCATGCAATAAATAAATATGTGTGTACGAGTATGTGGACACAAAAAAAAAAAAACTTGTCTGTTAATTAGCATCTGCCTGTCGGTAGCACTCGGATGCGCTTTCAGGTATCTCGGTAGTCCAAAGCCCCTTCTCAGAGAATCAGAGAAGTGCGGGAGGGGGGTTGGAGGAAACCTTGTGAACATGAAAGTGCAACCAGCAACCTGCAACCAGAGGAGGCGCAAGCCGCTTAGACCCCCAGAGGCACCCAAGAGGCATTACAACTGTCGACTCGCCCCTAATTTCCTCTTTAAACATGGTTTCCAGCCAAAAGCAAACGCCGCAAAGAATCCACAAAGAATGAGAATCCATTCGGGTAACCCAATGCCACTTTTTAAAGCCATTCCAGTCCATTCCATTGGGGTAGTCTGTGTCTGGCGCACTGGCACACGTATGCCAAGTATTTAAGCAAATAGAACTTCCTGCTCATATAAAAATCAGTTACATTTAAGGGCTTCACAGGGTGGGAAAGTATTTTTTGAAGCTTGGAGTAGAATTTTACAATATTTTTAATGGATATTCATTTCTGTGAAAGCGGGAATATGAGTAGAAAAAGTCAAGGCACCTCTTAAATCATAAATTGAATGAAGTTGAATGAACATTATTGCGAGCATATTGTACGTATTAAAAAAGAAAAAAACTATCCGAAAAATGCAATAAGTAGGTTCCGATTTTTAGAGTTATATTAAAGAATTTGTATATCAAAACTGATCAATATTATAATGTCTGTCACCCTAAAAGATACCCAAAACCCTCTGACATTGAACCAATCAAAATAATTCAATGAAAATTGCTGGAAATTACACAACTTCTGGAATGTCTTTCGACTGTTATTGGAGTTTGCTGACAAACAAAGAATCGCCAGAAATGCTGCCGCCAGCAATAAAATAAATTCAACAGGTAAATACAATAATTAGCAATACACACACCGCAAAAAAAAAAACAAACAAAAAAGAAATTCAAAATCATATAAATTAAGACAAAGACAAAGGCACGGAAAAAAGATCAAAATGCATTTAACATGTTTCTTGGATGGAAATGTATGTAAATGAATGCCAAAAGTATTTCTCTCTTTCCCTAAAACACATAACGCTTTTATTTATTTATATTTTTTATATAAAAAATACAAAAAATTACAGAAAATAAATTAAATTAAATCGACTACTGCACCCACCCCAGCCACAAAAATGACACCGAAAAAATGCTGTAAACAAGTTTTGTATAAGTTTTAAATTTAAATAAACACACGAAAAAACATCTGTGCACATGTGAAGCAGAATGGAAAAACAATAATATTGTTAAAAACAATAAAAAAAAACTACAACAAAAATTAAACGAAAGTTCAGGGCCTGCCATTGTCGTCGCTTCAACCAAAAGAAATGTCATTGAAATTTTTAAACATTCCTCTGCCTCTGTGAGAGAATCTAAAAATACTCGATTTCTGGCCCAGTGGTGGTCGCCTTTTGTTGGATTCTACTCCGTAGTCTCATAACTGGGTTAAGGGTCGTACCAATGGATACAATAGGGAGTTCTTAACATTGACAAATGTGATCATCTGCATAGTTTCGACTTATAAAAGAGTCCCAAAGAAAGGTAGATTGTCTAAATGATCTTGTTGTCTGGCAGAAAGTTGAGGGAAATTATTAAATCAGAAGAATTTTTGAGATCTTAATAGTAAGATAAATGAGACATTCATATGATATGATGATTATTTTCAGCTTTTCTTTGACTCTAGTAAATATCTTTTGACTGTTTGATATTTTACAAGTAACATATAAGGGAATACGAATTTAAAAATATTGCCATAAAATAGCAATATTTGGTTAGTATTAGAATGTTCTTTGCTAAAAAGTTGTAAAGATATAAGCCTATTTGCAGCCAAAAACCTATCCGAGTGCCACGTAAACTCTACCCCAACTTCTATCATTATATTGTGTCAAGTTTTTTCAATCAGCTCCAGCTCCCTGCGTTCCCTCGTTGAAGGTGAACACCTTGCTGGCACCCGCATTTCATTTACAAGTAGTACCATTTCCGCAAAACAAAACACCAGCCAATCGCCATCGCCATTGCCATTGTACTATTTGAAGACCATGTTAATGTGGTTTTTATCTAAAGTATTTGGCATGCATGTTACTGTTTGTTACCCACGGCTTGAGATATCAAATACTGGCACTGCCACCTGGGGACCCTTTCCGTGTGCCACAAAGCGAAGCGAAAATTAAAAATGTTATCTATGCAGCGCGTAAAAATAAAAACATTTCAAATAGGTAGAGTTTTAATTGAAAAAAAAAAACAAACTGTAAGATAAATGAGACACGGAGGGGGGCTATACGTAAAGGCTCCCCCCTACAGAGAGAGCCCCTTATGCAATCATCTGTTGAATGAGATATTCTGCTCGTCTCTCCGACTCTCCATTCGACTCGACTCATAACTGATTAATAGCCAAAATGCTTAAACGAAATGAAAGCGAAAATAACTTTTAAATCATCGCATTAAAAAAGCAGACCTCAAAATACAACGAAAATAAACCAAAAAAATATCCCAAAAAACACACCTACAACACCTTTAAAAAATCAACGTGTTATGGCGGAGAAAAGCGCCCCCAAAACCCAAACTCAACCTCAAACCCCAAGACCACGTCTCCAGCTCTGATAATTCTTTATTTTTTCAGAGCTGGAGAGAGGGACGATGTTCGCTCTGCCCGCTCGATGATGTAAACGGGAATTCAAATTTATGGTAATAAATGAAATAACAGTCAGATTTAAAGTGGTGTGGAACTTAAAGTCCGACTCTAAACATAAAGGTCTGCCAGTGTCTGATCTCTGGTGTGTGTGTTTCTGTGTGTGTGCGTGTGTACGAAAAATGAGTATCAAAAAAGTGAAAGTTTTCACTTTTGTTTCAGTTTCCATTTACCCATCATTTTTGTGTGTGTTTTGGCTTTATTTAAGGTAATTTTTCACTGAGTTTCATTGAGTTTGGGGCAGCTTTAGGGAATAGATTAAGGTTTGCAGATCCATTCGACGGTAAATGGAAAAAGAGAGCAAAGAAAATGAATGCATAAGCGAGCTTAGAATTGGAAAATTGGATGAATATTCATGCATATCATGATTAGAGATATATTTGGGTGTATGGTAAGACAAACTTCGTTTAAATTGTGGACAAAAAATGTAATTTTGAGCTCATTTAGATGTATAGATCCATCAACTTCCGTTTAAATTAAATTAAATCCCTAAATTAGGCATGTAAATATTCTAAAAAATTTATTCAATTTAGAGGAGATTTAAAAAATTTAGAATTGCCTTAAATTGTATATTTTGTTCAAACAAAAAATAATTAAGTATGAAAAACAGCCTCATAGGAATATCTAAAAGGGCAGCTAAACCCTCAGTCGTTAAAAAAAATATATTTTTACAATTTCCCCAAAAGATAATTGCCATTCAGTTTCACATTTATATTATCCATTTCAAGACACATTTCCACACACTATACACTCAATTTTCCACATTGATTCCATCAAATTTTGGACATACATTTCATCAACATCATTGCCCGTCATCTTTCATTACATTTTTCCTACATTTTCCACTGACATTCCTATTGTCATTTGGTAAAATGTTGACTTAGAAAGTTTTTGTAGATAGAATGCAGCAGCACATGCAGCCCAAGAGAAGTGCACTTGTCACACATCCACTTTTCTGTTCTGTGTCTCTTCTCTAATTAAAATCAACAAAATATCAAAGAATTTTGTCATTGTGCAAGCACGAGGCATGGGGCACAGACCAAAGAGCAAACACTTGGAAATGGAAAAGATCTATGGCTGTGTGGAACCCCTAAATAAGTGTAGGGAGTTGGGGGGGGACTACGAGCCTATCAAATATCAGTTGCCGCATTTTTAAAGACTTAGAACTATGCCGGCATCGGCACTCGATTTGAAGACAAAGAAAAATACATACAGACATCCAATGCAAAGCCAAAGGCTCCAAAAAGACTCAAAAATTTACATAATTTAACCAAAAAAAAAAAATAAGAAAAGAAAAACCAAAAGTCTGTTATGTAATCGTGGGGACAGTCGCCCAAAAAAAAAAAAACAAAACTAAAGCCAGAGATCGGTGGGGGCAGCAGTTTGTGTGTCGCTCTGTGTCTCTGTGACTCATTCCGCCTTGTGACATTTTTCCTTTCGGTTGAGCATTAAAAGTTTTGACATTTGCATAGCAGACGCCAAAAAAAAAAAACGAAGAAAATAAAGCCTGACAATGAAAATTAATGAACTGCAAAAGTCCAGGGGGGGCTCTGGGGGATTGAGGGTTGGAGGGAGCCTTCTAACGTGGGCACAGCTCCACCGATATGGCCATAGAGGGACACGTGTGTGTCTGTTGATCGGCGGCCCACTTACAGGTCTCCAGTCTGTGTTCTGTGTTGGGGGCTCCATTGAACAGAAACTCGGGTAGGCACCAAAGTGCATACTATATGACTCACAGACCCCCTCACTGTCGTAGTCGCCTTGGGAGGTGGTGGTGCTGTTGGAGCTGTGGTTCGGATTTGGATTTGGATTGTTTGCTTGGATTCTTGGTTCTCTTTTGTCTGAATGTCAGTCAGTCTCCCTCTCTCTGTTGTTTGTGTGTCTGCCATATATGGCTGTCTATATAGAATTTAGAAATTAATGGAGTTTGTTCAGAGTGAAATGTGAGTACAATTTGTACACTTATGGGACGCCTTTGGGCTTGGC